TTGTGGCTCCTTTCTCGCATGTCATTTACCACTCTTTCTCACTCTCCTTGGTTTTGGCCCCTGTCCACTGTCCTGTCTCTACAATACAAAAATGGAATTGAAATCCAACTTTTTACCCTGTATTGTGAGACATGCTACACACACATATATGTCCGAAATACACACAAGCACAGACACATAGACATGCAGAAAGGTGTCAGAGTGGGGGTGGGTGCATGGAGACTAGGCCCCCAAGCAGTTTGGGGTCCGGAGTCTTGCTCAAATGCACCTCGGCAGTTCTCAGTAAGAAAACTAACACCTCTCCAGAAACCGGTCCCCATTCTGGACTTGGTCAGTAATAGGACTTGAAGGTGCAACTCTCCAACTGCCAACCCAAGTCCTTCTAGTCTGAGCTACTGCCGCCTGACCCACCCAGCAGTGGTGCCAATGTCTCATCTTGTGTTTTTTTTCTGTTGTGTGAATCAGCATACCAATCAATATTTTCCTACTGTACATCACCATTGTCCTCATACAGGAAATCTTTATCCACCCTCCGTTGTGTCAGACCTAACAAAGGAAGCATTCTGGTCTGAATGTTGTTTTTCTTATACACAGAGGGATCAGGGCAGGTTGCAAAAGGTTAAGCTATTAGTAAACAAGGAAGTAACTGCAGCTTAAATTCAGGTGTTTCGGACTCAACCACCATCAGTCCAGCTGCTCACACCAGACGAGCTCTTCTAAAAACAAAACATGCTCCGCTTCAGACTCAGCAACACCCTATGTGAGTACACCATGAGTGATGAGGACTAAAATATCAAATGTGTAATTTCATTCTGAGAATTAAGTGCATTTTTGTTTTGTTTCTGTCTTGATGAAGAACTCAAAAGCCTAGATATATTTGGAGTTATGACTGAGACTACATGTTTTTATATACGTATTTTATATCATATTAATTGAATCAAAATTACCCATTAAGATTTGGAACTTCTTTTCTTCCAAGAGGACAGTTTAAGATCTTGAACTTTAGGCATACGAGCCAGAACGTTCTTATCTTCTTTATAAATTAAGTCAATCCCATGCATATACAAATTATATAGTAATTGCATAAATGGAGCATTGGTAGAGAGCACATATGTTTACAAAATCATCTGCAAAAAAAGGAAAATGTTTGTTTGTGTAATAATTAGTTATTATATATCTATATTGGAATGATTATTCTGAATTAGGGGATGTTAAACATCTTGCTGTCATCAATTTAGGGTACGTATGTTCACGCTCATGTTCATGTTTGTGCTATCTGTGCTGTATGTACACTCAGAAATGTTTTTTTAACAGATAAAAAAGTGTCAGCACTAATATTTGATTTGAATTTGGGGTAACACCTTTTTCAATAATATCTAACATTTATACTTTGAAATCCATGCAACTATATTCTGCACATTTTTTCTAATATGTGTTTGGATTTGTCTTTTCCAGTGCTGGCAGCAATATGTATGCTTATGACATCAGGTAAATATCAGCATTAATAACAAGATTATACTTATTATGTTTATACAATATGGGAATTGAAAACGCCTCAACTTACACTTTTAAACCTGTTGTTTTAGTTGCTTCCATTGACACAGTTGTCACCTGTGATAACAGCCAAAATGTCCATCGCCTGAACTGTGGTATGACTTAACTCATTAAGGTTTTTCTTGTTAGAAATCCATTTTAAGCATCAGCCAAACCTGTAGAAGAACCTGTAGAACAAAATTCACATTATATCATCCCTTATGAATCAAACATTTTCGCTCGGGTCTTGATTCCCAATTGCTTGATTTGTGTCAATCAGACAATGGAGTGATCATTGTGCAGGCAGCCCTGTATGGACGTGCAAACACTATGACCTGCAGCAGGGACAGACCAGAAGAACAGCTCGCTGATACAGAGTGTGCTCTGGATGGCACAGTGGACATCCTTAAGAGAAGGTACAAAATACTCTTACAATACTGGAATACAAAGAATACAATATTCAATCCTAAATGTGGCTGTTGTTGGCACTGAGGTCCCTAATTAGTTCAATGATGTCAATGGGCTTGAAAAACAACAACATAACCTCGAGGGCGCCTGAGCCAAGAGGTTGGTTTGTGTTCCCATGTGCACAGGCTGCAGTCCCTGAAGCAGGTGGCCTGGGTTCAAAACCGATCTGTGGCTCCTTTCTCGCATTTCATGTACCACTCTCTCTCTCTCTCTCTCTCTCTCTCTCTCTCTCTCTCTCATATTTTCCGACCCTATCTACTGTCCTGTCTTTACAATAAAGGCATTAGTGAGAGCATAATTATTTCCCATAAAAAGGGGTGCAGCCTTGTGAAGTTACAACTGATGATGCAAGGCAGGTCTGGTCCATGGCAGAGATAAGACAAAAAAACTGTGAACATGTAGTCTGACCAACAGTGAGGGATGTAATGAGTAAAACATTGAGGACCAAGCATTGATCCTTGCAGAACCTCATCAAAAAGAAAGTGACTCATACCAGAGATGCATAGTTTAGATAGGACAAAGGACTTGGTCTTTCCTCCTGTGAAATGCTCTAAAAAGTTCCATCAAATAAATTATTACTTGTTATGTCTATGTGCCGTGTAAATCCTTTCTTGTACTGACAGCAATTAAGTTTTACTTGAAACTCCGACATATTACATATGCTGACAGCAGTCACTATTTGAGTTTAAGTGCGTCTTTGCTTTGGGCTAAACACACTTTTGTATGATTTACCCACAGGTGTGACGGCAAGCAGATGTGTGAGCTCAGCCCAAACGTAGTCCGTACTTCTGATCCCTGCATTGGCATCTACAAATATCTGGAAACCAACTTCACCTGCATGCCAGCCTGTTAGTCACATCTTTGCAAGAAACCAAAAATGCAAGAAGCTGCATCCTCTTCATTATCATGTCTAATGTGATTTATTGGTGTTACTTTTTCAGTTCATCTTACTGCATGTGAGCACTCTTATGCATATTTGCATTGTGGTAGGTGAATTTTATCATGCATTCAAGGAAACATTTGATAAACAACACAATTACATTTAGATGGTATCTGAACAACAATCAAACTATTTTCCCCCTTTTTCCCCCTTCGTGCCGTATCAATCTTATCAGATGTAGGACAGGTGATATTTGTCTACGGTGCCGATTATGGACGTCATGACCGCACCACATGCTCTTTTATGAGACCTACCTCTCAACTCCAGGATGTGGTCTGCTCACAACCCACTCAAAAAGTAGCAGAAAGGTACAATTCCAACTTTTTTTCAACTTATACCTGAGGTTTAAGGAATGAGAATCACATTGTTCTTAACGTTACCACTACAGCAGGGTGATGGTTACACATTCGTAATGCCAGTTACTAAAGAATGCCTGCAGATAATGCCTCTACTCACTCTTTATGTCACTGCGTGTCCACAGCTGCAATGGAAAGAACAGCTGTATGGTGAGAGCCAGCAACTCAGTGTTTGGAGACCCTTGCGCGGGTATTTACAAGTACCTGGAGGTTGCCTACACGTGTGAATGTAAGTTGTTCAAACAGCAATCAGAACTGTTCTTTCATACCTTCAAAAGCTGGTCTGTGGTCAAAGTGTAAAACTGCAAAACATGATGTGAAATAGGAAAATATAACGAAAGGAGAGAGTCAGTATGTAAATGCTTAAACAAGTGATGATAAAAACTAATACAAAGGGTTGACTAATCCAGTAATATTCACATTTTAGGGCACTTTAAATTGTCCTAAAGTGTCTGTTCTGATAGAGAGTTAATGACTATTTTGACATGTTGTCATGCTGTTACACAACCACTCAAATCTATTCTTTTTTTTCCCTTTTGTTCTGATGCAGATCCTCTGAGCATGCCATATGAATATGAAAAAATGGTGTAATAAAACAAGATCCCATTACACATGGATTAAATGAACAACAATAATCAGTAGAAAATGTCCTGTAAGCACTCAAGGAGTGTGCCAATGTGTTTAGATTACTATAAGATAACATAAACATGTGTTCAATAAAATACATTGATCTTGAAGCATTATTCATGTCCGTTTATGAATAATTTTACAATGTTGATCATAATAATTAAATGAGTGTATATAACAGTGCACATGCAAAGCATCATGAAGCCAAACAGATCAGGATACCAGGTTAAGCTCCAGTGTAGCACTGTCAGTGTTCGCTTATTCTGGACTCTGCTCTTTAAGCACAATTCAACACAAGGAACCCTTGACTTTTTCAGGAAGTAAAAATACATACAACAACTATGCACAACAATGGTTGTGGGAGTTGTCAGGCAACCTGGACCGTGTTATTCCAAAGGTTTCAATCCATCCATTGTCTTTACCGCTTCTCCATTTTCGGGGTCGCGGGAGGGCTGGAGCTGATCCCAGCTATCATTGGGTGAGAAGCGGGGTACACCCTGGACTGTTCACCAGTCAATCACAGAGCTGACATACAGAGACAGACAATCAGCCACTCTCATATTCACACCTATGGGCAATTTAGAGTCACTAATTAATCTAACGAGCATGTCTTTGGACTGTGGGAGGAAGCTGCAGTACTCGGAAGGAAACCACCCATGCACGAGTAGAACATGCAAAATCCACAAAAGTTAATTTAAAAAAATAAAGTGTCTGGCTAACTCAAAACAAAAAACAACAGAAAAATGTTTGACCAGATGCTCCAGTCTATATCTTTCTCAGAGACAGGATGCACACCGTTTGGCAAGATAAAATGAGAAATGTGTCCAAGGGGAAAGGAGATTTGAAATAGGCATGATTGAATATGTTTCATGACCCTGTGGCATTCCCCACTCTCTCACCCCCTGATTTCTCACTGTAGTTATACTTAAAAAAAAAGACAGAAGACATTGGTTGTCCTGGAGATGACTTCAGCATCACCAGTCAAGCGTAAATAAAAATGCTCGACTGGTACAAGAAAAAGTGTCTTCAGTTTTCAAGAGACACAAAAACAAGGATTTGATGACACAGTTTGTGATTTCAGGAAGCCGAAAAAAAAAGATTTATTAAAAGTATTACATTAGTCATAAATGTAAACATTCAGACACTTTTTGTAAATACAAAAGCAAAGAGATGCATGTTGTTATTTCACTTACAAAATAACTTAATGGAATCAGATTTTCTACTCTCCCTTAAGTTAAGGGATGTGATTTTTATTGCATGTTATTACACCTTAGTCTTAATGTTGTCTTACTTCATGTTGCGTCAGAGTTGGTGTAAAAATTAAAGTTTTCCAGCGACTACCAGATTACAGTCAAGTTGCCGATTTCATTAGAGAGGTCAGTCTTTGATGGGTAGACCACCTTCAGGTTTCCGTCTTGGTCCACTGTTCGAACCTGCTGGACTATAAGTTCCCCGGAGCCCTCACAGCCAGCTGCAGGTTCCTGTGGGCCGTCTCCTTCCCCATCTGACCCCGCCTCCTCCTTGTGTTCTGCTGTGAACTTGTTCAACTCTGCCATTTTCTGCAAGGAAACAGGAAATGTTTTCAGATTGTTGTTTGTTACAGTGTTTCCCCTAGGTTTACAGCGTTAGGGGGGTGGGGACAAGCCGACACAAACACTTAAAGGAATCTTGGTGTTCATGTGTGACTTTTAATGACAGATGTCCTTTTCTATCTGAAAGGTATCCTTAAATGACTTCTTTCCATGATTTCCGACTCTATCCACACAATAAAAAGGCACAAAAAGCCCCCAAAAAATATATATATATATATTATTAATTTTTTACTTGACCTTCAGGGGGGGCGGGCTGCCCCCCTAATATAATGTTAGGGGAAACACTGTTACAGATTGTTTTCTAGAAAATGTCAGCAGCCTGCCCACTGAAATCTTACCGAGTTGCTTATTCAGCTCGACCCCCTGTCGGAGGGGAGGGGGAAAGGGTCTCAGGAGGGAAGACATGACGTAAAAAAATTAAATTAAAATAAGACGATATGGAATTGTTTTTGAAAGAAATTCTTGGAACAAATTTTGTTCTGATATGTTTTGTTTTTTGCAACCAAACTAGTAGTGTCTTAAATAATAAGATTTGTAACAAGGGTAGGTGTAATAAGCTAAAGCTTCAGCCTACACCTTTTCAGTCAAAATGTTTTTGTTTTTTCTTGTGACCGAAATAAATGATTACAACTACTATTACATGACGTAAAAATAAATTAAAAATAAGACGCTATGGAATTCCAAGATGAAGGACGAAGCAACAGAATCTGCCCTTTTCTCTTTATATCATTGCTCATGGGACGTATTCACAGTGTAATCAAACAAGTGGAAATGACTGTACTAATTGGGAAACATTTGCGTCATATAAACGTGTCACCCCCGCCCGCTCGCTGTCCTGAATAATACCTGCTGTATTCACACATCAGTAACCCTGACTACAAAAATGGAAAATTTGTATGGGGGCGGGCAGTAAAAAGTCACCGACCATCTGATTCTAAATCTGGCTTCTGACCTGTAAAAGGATCACTATTTTGGAGCTGCCTTCCATTAAATCAGTTATTCAAGTTAAATGCTTTTTTGTTGTTAGCTTGGAGAAACCAGAGGATTCATTGGATAAAAAAAAAAAAAAAAAAAAAAAAAAAAAAAAAAAAGGTACATTATCGACTTTATTGTGGAAGTGATGTGAGATCACAATGAGATCTCCTAACATGCGCTAAATCAAATAATAAGTCAATCTTAATTTGTAAAGAGCCGATTCATAACAAATGTTATCTCAAGACACTTTACAAAAAGAGCAGGTCTTGACCGTACTGTTTCCGAAGTTTTCTTTTACATTTCTTTTGTTTTAAAGTAAAATAAAACTGCTAAAACCACTTGGGCAGTTTCACTTTAAATATGAGTGTACAGTATCTCCCAACTAGGGTTGAGCAATATGGCAAAAAAAGTTATCACGATAAAAATGTGTATATCAGTCGATATTGATAATTATCACTATGATTAATGTCAAATCATTACTTCTTTCAAATTTAAAGGCAGATTTTTTGCTCCTGAATGAAAGTTGAAGAAACCAGATGGTTAATTGTGGTTTAACCATTCTTTACTGTCAGAACATGACAAACTATACTTGAACAGAGGAATATTCTACAATCATAAGCACAGTGCACAGTGCTGTGAACACTGATATGACAGTTTGCTGCTGGGCAGTCACACGTACACTAATTTGGGACGTTTGGTCATTTCTTGCTCTCTGTGTGCTCTAACTGGTGATCTTGTTTCAAATGGTGGAAACGGTTAGTGGTGTTGCCTGTTTTAGCCTCACATGTCTGCTGGTGTAATTATGATAAATGGTAAATGGATTTGAGCTTGTATAGCGCTTTTCTAGTCCTCTCACTACTCAACGCTCTTTTACACTGCAGGTCTCATCGACACATCCACACACTGATGGTAGAGGCTGCTGGGTAAAGCGACCATCAGATATAACTAATCCCATTCATACACATTTATACACCACTGGAGCAATTAGGATAATTGTTCATTTCAATATAACACAACAACAGGAAAAGCAAAATCCTGAGTTGTGAACACAGAAATTCAACTACTTTGTTTGTCCTCAGTATAGCTCTGTACAGCATCCACAGGGTCCAGCTGGTGTATTGGTGTATTGTATTGAAGTGTATTATGTTCAGTTGCTTTACCCTCAGTAGGGCCTAATTGGAATTTGAGGATCAACTTTAGGACAATTAAATTTGTTTGGTGACCCATATGTTAGGTTTATTCTAGAGCATGCATCTGGTTACTTAAAAACTAGAAATATTAATATGGAATTTACTGACCACCAAACTGTACATGAACTCTCCCCAGCACCATACATTAACTGTTCCCATCAACATAACCTTCAACTACTGAATACTCAGAAAACATTTCAATAGTAATGACCAGTCAGAGCTACATACACTTAAAACATGACAATGATGCTTTAACCAATAGAAAACAAGTAAATAAAAAATAAAAAACTGAAAATAAAGTTGATATAAATTTAACTTTATGGCAGAAAAGAGACAGAAAAGTTCAGCTTACTGCAATCAGGGCGTCCATTACATCTTTGCAGGTCTGCAGGCTGGTTGCACTCGTCACCTCCAAGAACAACTCTTTGGTTGTCTTCCTGATCTGAGGGTTAAAAATAAGCTAACCATGTTATTATTTCTTCTATTTAATGTCAAGAAAAGGAGACAATGCAGTTAAAAATATCAAGCTTATTTTATTTTGTTTGCGGCCAAATCAGTTCCATCATAAGCCTTTGATTATTGATCACTGTAGGACACGACTATGAACATCAAGAAAAGTAAAGCAACAGACTCACCTTGGTTTTCTCACTGTTAGTGATAGGCGGGAATGAGATCACATGTCCCTCTCCATCCACTAGGCAGGGATAGAGTGCCTTTCCTTTTAGAATCTGCAAGTATCTGTAGAGAGATGTGAACAGTTAAGAGGCTACCTGGGGGCAACAGATACAAAGTTTCTCATATTCAAAGTAAAATTAATGCTCTTAATATTGTTTACATCATGACTGCACGTTCAAGCAGCACGGAAGCACTTTATTTATATTGCTACTGTACCAGTGGTGTACTGTACCACTCTTTTTATCTGTTGTGTTTTTGTCCACTGCTGTAGATCAAACAATAAAGGTCTAGACTGAACTGAACTGGGAGACACACAACAACATAATGGCTGAGGATGAAATAAATCAAACCCATGCTGTTGTTCAACACTCTTATACCACCCCCATGTGTCCAAAAATAGCAGAAAGCAAGTTAGCTACTTATGTCTTGTGTCTATGTTGAATGATTATTACTCACTTCCTAGCATTGTATTCAAATTTTAAACTCTGGGATTGTGACAAATTGTGTATCAAAGTTAAGGTAACAGGAAAAAAGTAATCTATGGAAAGCAAATATGTGTGTGTAGCTACAGACAATTTTTGTGTGAGATTTATTTAGCTGTGATTAGTAGGAAACCCAAAGTTCACTTCATGTACAGAGACCCCTATACCTCTAAGTCCATAATAAAAATGTTTTATGCCTTTATGTATAGGATATTTATATATACATTATATTTCTGTTTGATCATTTTCAGCCTGTGGAGCACTTTGTCCATTTTCTCTTTGAGCTCTTGTTCACACCTTATACTTTGGATTTGCATTTAATATTTTCAGTGACCTCTTACCTCTCTCCATTTGGAACTATATTATTATTATATTATATAGATATTATATTAGCATCACTGGATGTCATGAAACACGTAGGGTTGTAATAATACCAGAACTTTTGTCTGGAATTCAATATGATATGAGTTAAATTTAAACAATATCAATTCATGTTACGATACTACAGTAACAAAAACAAAAATCCATAGGAACCCAGTATCAGGACACAATAATTTTATGCTTTTTAATTTACTTGAAAAGAAATAATCCGGCACACTATTCTTGCTAAGCATTTCCGATTTGTATGAAAAAATCACAACGTTTGGGTCCCTGTGAACCTTTGTCAAGTACAATACAGACAGAATTAAATCAAACATCGAGACTCCACCACACCAAAACTGACTTATTTACAGGACTATCTACAGAGATATTTATCTGATGTTTTTAATTAACAAAAAATGCAGGCTAACTCCTGTGCAACATCTCTATTCCACAAATGTCTTTGCAACATCTTTGTATTTGTGCAATTGAGTGATTGCTCTTTTTTTCTGGCAGCAGCTTTTGGTTAATATATTAAAAAAAACAAAGTTTCTGTCCCTCTGCACCTTTTTGAAGTGTTGACAACGGTTCAGAGGGACAGAAATGTTGTGTTTTTTTCCCTAATAAATTGGTGATGCGTAGTGTGCAGGATTTTTTCTTTTCAGTGTGATAGTTTCATGTCCTACACGGTTACTTCATGGGATATTTGGGTGTGCGACAACCTCCTTCAAAACATGGTTAATATGTTAGAATGAAAATCTGTAGTTTTATTAAGCTTTGGCTTCATTAAATGACACAGATTGTATCGTTTTAAAAACATCTGGTATCAAAAAGTATCCAAGTACTGAATAATTTGACAACCTAAATGATATCATCTCAGTGTTTGCTGGGTAGCATGTTCTGTACTCAGGAGTTACAGTATATGTTGCACTGACTTGTGGAGTCCGGTGACATTTTGCCTCTTCTTCTGCTTTCTCAACTCATCAGCCTCCAGCTGGATGTGTCTAATCAGCTCGACGGCCGTCATCTCCTTCCGACCCAGAGATGCAATCTATCAAACACAGACACACATTTTTATGTGAACGTTAAGACTAGTTTTCCAGAGCTTTGCAGAGAAAATTTAAATAAATGACAAACAACCACAAAAACAAATAAGATAGAAATGACTAGAACTCACACCAAATCAAGTTAGAATCATATATTGTTTAAGTTTACTGCTGCAAAAGTTTCTGAATGTAAAGAAGAAGAGACAACAGTTATGTGTAAATGTACCTTTAGCTCGGTAGGTGGTTTGACATCATAAGTGAGGGGCGCTTTGAGAAGCTGCACATCGTGAGTTGCGATGGTTGCAATGGTCCTTCTATCACACAAGTCATCATGAAGCTTTGTCTAGAAAAACAAGAAAATCTTGTTAGGAGACTCACCACATGGTTACATTAATAGTAAATCACGTCTAAAAAGAATAATAGGTGAGGTTTACCTGAGCCACCAGGAATCGTTTGAGAGCATTCCCGGACTTCAGGTTCATGCCTCTGACCAAGCAGCACACCAAGTACGGTCGAACATCTTTCACCTCTGCGCTCACTTTGACTGTGAGAGCTGCAGGAGCATCTGAAAAATGGAGAACCCTCACCACCATCTTGTTCAGTTCCTCCACCTCATCCTGTTCGTCTGCCACCTTCTTCTTCCTCTGCTGCCTTTTCCCTTTGTCTGCGTTGCGACCCTTGTCTGCATCTCCTCCGTCGTCTCCCTGCCTTCCTTTAGCCCTCAGGTAGTCGAGGATGGACTTGGTCTGACAGCCGTTGACCATCTTCTCCAGACGTTTGTCGTTCAATTTGTTGCCTTTGAAATTGATCTCCTTCAGCTTGGCGCAGTCGCTCAGGGCGAAGGGGATATCACTCAGTTTGTTGTTTGAGAGATCCAGCACCTGGGAAGAAATGTGCAAGGAGGACAAACCCAGTTCGTTTATCACTGGTTAAAAAGCAGCAGCTATAGTTTCAACTGTCATGTAAATAATGCACTACAACAAACAATAGTGTATTACTTGCAAGATTGCAATAATCAATGCTAGTTAGTCAAACTTGTTGGGATGTTACCCACCAAACCCTGTTTTAAAAAAACATGCATTTTGATCTTCATTGTCTATTGCACATGTGAAACTTTGACAGCTAGGATGAAAGATATACACCTAAATAGGGACACTTCCTCTCAAAGTTGGGAATACTTTTTTAACCAACCTAGAACCGTATGTAAAAAAAATACCCCGTAAAAAACTGCGGTAAAGTCAGCCGCTCCTCGAGTTTACATGGTGAAGTGAGCCGCCCCTAAATTTGAAGTGCTCACGTATTCTGATCTTTATGGTAAATGCTCCGGACTGCAGAGCGAGCAGGAGTAACAGACAGAGAGAGCGAGTCTGTTATTAATCTCCTTTTCCAGACAAAAGTGATAAATGCAGAAGTCTTACCATAAAACTGACTATGAGATACACGTGTATGAAACAGGAGCAAACAAAATACTGTTCAGGGAATAGATTCGGAGGTCGGGGAAGTTAGTTTGAGAATAATACTGCGAGTCTGCGGTAACTTCCGTTTTTCAAAATAAGGTATTTTCCTGGGAAAAAAAATGTTCTTACATAAGTAGACAATGATTCTGATATGGTTGGACTTCTAAGACTACATGCACCTGTACTATGAAGTACTTTTACTGTGTACTTTTTAAGAAATCCACTGTCAAAGTCCCTATAATGAATCTTTTTTATGACTTTGAGGTCTTGTAAAAAAAAAAAAATTCTTCCATAAGTAGAAAAGCACTTCACTTCATCGCTCTCTCTGTCTGCTCGCTCTGCAGTCCGGAGCATTTACCATAAAGATCAGAATACGTGAGCACTTCAAATTTAGGGGCGGCTCACTTCACCATGTAAACTCGAGGAGCGGCTGACTTCACCGCAGTCTTAAAAAGATGTACGAGCTGCTTGGTGTATGATGCTGCAAGAACGTGTGAGATTGTGTTTTGTAATGTATGTTGCGTGTGTGTGTGTGTGTGTGTGTGTGTAAGCAACTCACCTTTATAGCTGCTAGCTTCAGAACATCTCCACTCAGCTTCTCAATGGAGTTATCATAGGCCACCAGTGTGCTGAGGAGATCCAGTCGTTCAGAGTAGAAGTCAGAAGGGAAATCCGTGATGCGATTCTTGGAGATGTTGATGTAAGAGAGCTTCGTGCACTTGCTGAGTCCCTCTGGCAGGAACTCTAGGTTGTTACAACTCACGTTGAGAGTGGTTAGCTCCTTTAGCTCAGTGATTCCCTCTGGTAAAACGCTGAGGTTGTTGGCTGACAGGTCCAGGACCTTCAGGGACTTGAGGTGTCCGACTACATTTGGCACGGAGGCGAGCTTGTTTCTGCACAGGATGAGGCTTGTAAGGTTTGTCAGGTGTTGGATGTCCTCGTGGATCTCAGTTAAACTTGGACACTGGCTAACCTCCAGATAATTGAGCAGGGTGAGAGAATAGATGGCAGGACAGAGTCCCCCGTTAGAGGAAATTCGCTCGTCGACAGCTTGACCCTGTAGGACTAGTTCACGTCTCTTCCCAGTCGCTGCTTTTTCGATTTCTGGCCAATTCTCCATGTCATCCATGCTGCTACAGCTACACATCAGTTGTTAAATTGGAAGAGAGAGCATTAAAAAGCATGACCACTTCCTTTTAAATATTTCAGAATAAAATACAATGTACAGGACATACGCCCATGGACTGTAAATATTAGCATGCGCCGGGGTTTTTGGATTACGTATGTGCTGCCTCGATACAGAATTTGTTTGTTTTTTTGTGAAACTACATATTTTGTAAGTTTCAAATAGTAATTGCCATGCAGGCTTGCTGACGACTTTCGAGTTTCCGGAACACCCTATGCCTTTATTCTGGAGGTAACAACCTCCTCTCGACTCAGCTCGCTCTCTGGGATAAAGAAGCTGTTGTAAAAACGTATTACCAAATATATTTGATAATTTTATCGATTTAAAGTGGCTTAGGTGTAAGCAGCATACATGATACAACATGAACTTTTACAGTTGACTTTTATAAATACCAGATACTTTGACGCTTGGTAAAATACAATGACGACAATCCATTGCGACGACACGCGACAATCCTACCATTGCGCATGCGCGCCGCGCTGATTGTTGTCAGTGGTGGTTATGGAGATGAGATGGGACTACGAGCTGTCAACATTGCGGTGATGTTAGTGGTAAGATATTCCTGAAATGCACGTAGGAAAACTTTATAGTCTTGAATGTATATGAACAAAAGGTAGGACACTGTATACGACAGTTGTCAGTACACTCTTTAAAAATGTAGCCGGTTAAGATACCTTTACAATAAAGCTACTGTAAGAGTACGACGAGCCATGTTGGCAGGATAATTAGTTAACTGTTCGCTAATGCCCCCCAAGAAACACTTCTCTGTCCTCCTCGCTGTTGCAGCTATGTCAAGTAACCACGGTTTATTTTCCCATAAAGACAAACATTAATTAAGTAAACTGGCCGTGTCATATTGTGCGTCCTGTAGGAAAAGGTAAAAACCCTTCAACAGATCTTCACGTCTCTTGCATTTGACACACTTGCAGTGAACGTCAATGACGTACAATCAGAGCACGTAGACGATGAATAAAGTACAATTCAACATGGCTACCTAACCAAATGTCTTTCTATCTTTGTTGTTAATGGTTTGTGGAATTTATGGACTGACGTATTTTTCCTTAAATTATTATTTTTCTTAAAAATAATAAAATTGTGTCCAATTGCTCTTTTCTGAAGAGCATCAACGATTTGTTTTGCCAGCATTAGTGAATATTTAATATTTAGTTTTCTTTGTAAAGCATTGTCACAATTCTCTTATTCACTTTTTTATAAAAACAGTGCTGAAGAAATGCATGTTTTTAAATACAGATGCACTAAATTATTATTATTGCAAATATGATTTACATATTTGTTGTTGTTTTTACATAATAAAGAAGCCAAAGTTGTCACATTTTGACCATGAGCACCCTCAGAAGAACCCTGCAAAAATGAAATGCTGTGTACAATTGGTTAAACTTGACTGAAAATCGGGGGGGGGGGGGGTGGCCTAGCGTTTAGGTCGTGCTGCATGTACAGAAGATATAATCCTCCAAACAGCTGACCCGGGTTTTTCTTTTTTTATTTCTTTGCACTGGCATTATCAGAAAAATAACATTCCTATTATGCATTCTTTCATTGGACATTAGAGGGATGCCTAAGAAGATAGGATTCACTGTGGTCAATTCTTCAAGTCATGAGGACAACTTCAGTGCAAAGGAGCTGATGGTCCATGCACCCACGGTTAATGGCTGGAGATCCAGCAGGTACAGTAACACTTTGATTTATTATCTAAAACATTCAGATTTATTCAGGGCATTAAACCCTTTTTTTGTGCAGAGGCAAGTTTGATTTTTAACACTCTCTAATTTGGTGGCCTCTAGAAATTCAATAATGTGTTAATCTAAAAATCTGCAGGCTGTGCTCATACCCCCAGCACATCACCCTCCAGCTGGGGGAGAGAAGTAGGGTGAGGAAGCTGCAGCTGCTGGCTCACCAGTACTTGATCCCAGCCAAGGTGGAGTTCCACATTGGAGAGACTCTCCCTGAAATCAGCACCCAAGGGTTCCCTGGGCCGCTTCGCAGACTAGGGTGAGACTACAGACTTGGTCACTCTCATATTTGACTTGAATCCTTTTTTGTCTCTTTACAAAAAAAAAAAAATCAGGTCCTTTTGCAGTTGGTCCGTTACAAGACACACATTAACAAACAACATTTGAGTTTTTCACGTGATCAATGACCACTACTGTCTCCTGGTGATGACAATCTTGTTCGTGCATTTGGTGAAACTCCATACACACATGTAGCTTTGTTCCTTTGATCTGTTTTTGCTTCTGTGTCTAAATCAACCAGCAATGAGACACATGCAGCCAAACTCTACATTTAAGTAATGTTTGATCTCCAAAGACTATTTTATTGGGTAAACAAAAACTTGTTGTTACTGTAAAACTTTTGGATTACTTCACAGGCATAATACATTTGTACAGGATATTATCAACACATTTTAAATGTAGCAATGCTTTGTTTGGTCTATCTCAACAGAGGAAAAGTCAAACACTGTTCTTTTTCCACAGGTACGTTTCTCTGTCAGACAATGAGAAGACAGGCTTCAAAGCGCGGGAGCTAAAGTCCGTCCATGTAGATGCCATCGGTACATTCCTGAGGATAACCTTCCACAGAAACTATGAAAACCGTTTCAATCTCTACAATCAGGTAAACTCTTAAACAGTAGTGATGCACACTTACACAAGCTGTGAGTAACTTGTTAAATGCCCATTTGGTTTTGATTTGTGGGAAATGTATTTTGGTTTGTGTTTCCTCCCAGAAGAATTTAAGATACTAAAATAATAGAAACAGCAAAAATCTTGATTTCCTTGTTAAATGGAAGTCAAATCTAACCATTAAAGTACAGTTACATTCAACCATTGCAGTCTACAGTGTGTTTTAGATTAATTCAAATATTTTATGAAGTACTGAAAACACATGTTTGACTTGATTCTTGCTGCAATAGGCCCTCAAGCAGCACTTAGCCGGCAATCAGTTTGGTATTGAATTCTCAGCTTTGTAGTAGAAAAGTTGTGTTTAATGACTGCTTCATTAAATGCTTTTGAAGATGAATTTCCTCCATCACATCTCCACATCTACCCTCATCTTTATAAGCTTTGTTTTTATTTGAATTAGTACTAAAATGATGATTAGTTGAAAAAGGATTTAGTTGAGTGAAAGAAAATTACCGTACTCAATTCTTTTTGATAAGCGTTTTATGTCAGAAAATAAGATTATAAGATTCCCTACATATTACATTTTGCAGTATACCTTTGGGTACTTTCACTGTTGATAATCATATCAAGACATCACAATTCTCTCTGATAATTTGTGTAAGAATTTATCTTTTTAAGTGATTGAACATTTTTGCAGAAGAATCATTGACAGTCTATTTATTTGTGAATTTATTACAATAGAAGCAGCTATCGTTTTTTAAATACGTTTTTAGATTGAAATTAATTTTTTTATAATTTGAGACATGAATTCTGTTGTGTATGGAACCACTGAAGTCCCAAAAAGAGGGGCTCCATAGTTTTTAGTGTAGGCTCAAAGTTTTAGAACCCTTTACAAAAAAATAGTGCTGTTTTTTTACTCATTAGTTAAATCTAAAGTAATACTTTAAGCCAACAGACATCATTGAAAGACCTCCAAAAAGTATTTATATACACGTTGTTAGTCCCTCTTTCAGTACTGAGTTCACTCATTTATAGCACTTCGTCCCAAACCCCTACTTGTTTCTGTTGAAGATTTAGATCTGTAAAGAACAGGTCAAACATATTGTTTTATATTTTGAAATGGAATTAATATTTTGTAGTAATAGCTTGGAGGTTACTCCAAAATAAACAGTGTATTGTTTTTGATAGGGACTTGTGTATGGATTCAAAGTGAACTACAAAGTGACAAGTAACCTGGAGCAATTACTTGTTGTTCTGGTCTTCTCGTTTGATCAGTTGATAGAAAATTAGCCTTTTAACTGCTTCAAAATTCCCCTCCTGTACCCCTCAGCATTAACACATTTCTATTCACCACCAGCTATTGTTTTTGATTTACTTATGTAGTTCCATTTTGTTCAACCATCTCACCAACATTTGTTTATGATTTCAGGTTGCTTTGGTTGCCATTAATGTTCTGGGAGAGTCTTTGGATGGCAATGCTTTTAACACGATTGTAAGTTTGCACTCTCTTCTCTCGTCACTGAACTTACATCAATACAGCACAAGGTGGTGCTGTTATGCTGTGACTCTGTGAGACATGGCTCTGTCATCCATCACTTCATCAGGCATTCACTCATGTTTCCTCATCATTCTACTGACATTGCATCCCCACAATAAGTTTGACCTTCTGGCTTACTCCAAAAAGGGAATAAGGTCAAGGTTTTTTTCCCAATAAAACACAATAAATAAAAATAAAGGATGATAAGCATCTTTTTATTTTCTATTATTTGGCTATTTCCGCTTTGCAAAGTTGTAGACATTAAAACATTCTTTTTTTTCAGTAGTAAGACAGCTAAAGGTGATAGACAAAAAATACCTGCTGTGGATTTTCAAAAGAAAATGTTATGGACATCAGACAGTAGAACTATTGGTGCTCATATTTCATGCAGGATTTTGTATGTTCTCTATCATTTACTCTTTATATTTACATTTGCATGTATGCACACGTGTTTACCTGAATAGTGTGTGCGTGTGTAGGTGAGTGGATATGTGTCAGGAATGTAGTAATGAGACACAAAGAGAGGACAGTATGTAATCACACAGGAGGCCTTTAGTTAGCAAGTGTAATCAGATAGTCCTGCAGATGGACAGGTCCTGGAGGAGAGAGAGAGAGAGAGAGAGAGAGAGAGACCTTAAAACACACACACACAGACATAGAAACATAGAAAGACAAGGACACACACTTGCACAGATTCCAGTGAACAGGCTGTGCATTGTTGCTCCACTAATCCGACTCTGAGCACCTCTACAACAGCAGTGATCTCACCTGGAGGGTCAGCTGGATTTTGTTCTCTGCTGTCTGTTCTATGGGCCGACGTTGTGTGTGTCCTGCTGCTGAAGCTTATTTAAATGTGCGCAGGTATCACATGGCAGCTCATCCAAAAGTAAAAAGAAACATCTTAACACTTACGCATGGTTTATCTTCTCATGCAGGTTTTCTTCTTTAATCTACTGCAATGGAGGTGAACCTGATTTTTTATCATGGTGCCCAAAACATTGGGAAATTGTGATGTTGACATGAAATAGATGGTGTTTCACAGAAATTTGTATCCCTTCTACTGTATTTTTTTTTTAGTGTTGATGACCTCACAGTGCTCTGATGCAGTAAAAAAAATATCAAAGAACATTAATTACTCGCTAAAACATGCCAGTTAAATAATCATTAAATTCCGTACATAGTAAATTTACTAAACCAATAAATATGTAATAATTAAGTGATGAACAACTGCAGGTACAGCTTCACACCCGCACACTCATACACCCATGCAGCGTGTTCGGACCATAGAAACCTTTCATAGTTCTAGGACAGTTTAGCTTCTGCTTCAAAGTTGTTACTCTCACAGCACCATGGCGGTGCAAATGCAGACAGAGAAAAGTCCCCATGTTGAGTAGTTCTTAGGGAACTCCCTTGGAGATAGTTCTGTCTGCATTCGCACCGCCATGGTGCTGTGAGAGTAACTACTCTGAAGCAGGAGCTAAAAAGGTTCCTCTAAAGGAACTAGGAACTAAAATAGATCCTAGTTCCTGCTGTGCGGAATCACAAAAAAAAGGGGGGAGGGTTCCAACAGTTCCGAGAACTATAAAAAAAGTTTGAGCGGTCAGAAAACCCCCATACACACACACACACACACACACACACACACACACACACACACACACACACACACACACACACACACACACACACACACACACACACATACATCTTAGCTGGTTTGCATATTGTTGCCCTTGAGAGAAGTGTAATAAGCATTCATCACACCTGATGTTATGACATGTCATAAAAGGAACTTCACAGGTGTTGCTTGAAACATTCATGATGGCTCTGTTCTACAAAAGTGCACCAGTAATCAATGACAGGGAGCCAGGCCAGCTTGGACAAAACTAGGGCCCTAAAATACAGAATCTTAATGGATCAAACAGATCATTCTTTTGATTATTTCGCCAAGGTGTTAGACTCGTTGACTTAATAGGATAATTTTCAGACATTTTTTCTTTAATAATGAACACCAAAGTTTGTTGAGCACCAATTATTTTATTGTTCACGATCCTTCGTAAGGATGTTTTTTTCTACACATTTTGAGATAAGCCTTTTCTCCATGACTCACAGAACACACCATCAACAGCTTTTTTACAGGCTATAGTTTCGACAATAGTTTTGAAAAATGTTCACATTTGTAAAGACTAAAAAAGCTAATTATCAGCTGAAACACATATTTGAGTTTATGCATCTTTAAATGTAGGTTCCCACTCCTGTGTACATTGCACATGTTCAACATTAGAACATTATATTATATTATATTATAACATTATACAACAATGGTCAGGTCTTCTTGAGCACAGTAATACTAGACTGTGTGTGTGTGTGTGTGTGTGTGTGTGTGTGTATGTGTGTGTGTGTGTAATTTGTCCATCTGTTTACCCCCAGCCAAGCAGAGAGCAGCTGATCGAACACTACCTCAACAGTACACAGCTGGAAACCGCCTTGGACACGACATTCATGGGGTGAGGCTAGGCCATTGAACCCTCGTTTCTTTGTCTTGTGACAATAACACTGGTCAACAAAGCCTTTTAGTCTGGAAGACAACCAATAAGGCTCTCAAGGTCGCACAGATTTGAACACAATGCAGGTGGCAGCCCATGCAAAGAGGAAAACACATTTTGAAATATATATTTTTTTATATATCAACCCCCAAGGGACGCTTCACCTCAGGGTCTCACTTCTTGGGGGGGTTGGGTCAGTGTTTTTCTCATTTCATCAGGAATTGCACAATAAAAACTTTAACAATTTAACTGATGATGACGCTTTTATATTCTACTCTAGCATTATCTCCAAGCTTGGACTGACTTGATGCATGATGCATACAAATAAAAGGTATTGATCTGTGTATTTTAAAGAATACGTTGTCTTTGTGTCATGTCGTGCATTCAGGAAATGTGAGTCCATCTCCATGTTGGACGACCTGGCCTTCGACATGTACCAGGACCCCGAGGTTGCCCACATCATCCGTCTCCTGGACAAAAAGAAGCAGGACATGGTCCGGCAAGAGAAATTTGAGCAGGCCAAGAATCTGAAGCAGGCAATCGCAGACCTGCAAAAGGTAATGTGGCTGCTGGTAGGCAGACTGGATGGCTTACAATACATTGACATCAAATATTTGATCACACAGCCACAGAAACCAGGACGTATCTCTGCAGTGAGAGCAGTCAAGATTCTTTATTAGTTACTCAAGGTCTGAAAAAGTTTTAAATAATTTTGTAGGCTCTCAAGGGGTTTAAAATTACTTTGATCCAGTTATAAGAGCTCATTTTTGACATTTTTTATTTTGGTCACCAATCATGGAGCAAGTTAAGAATGGATTTCTGGGGTCAGCTGTAGCTAAGAGGTGGATTCGGTCTTCTTATCAGAATCTTATAATTTCCAGATTTGTCACTCTGCTTCATTCTCACTTATTCTAAAGAATATTTTTCTATACAGCTGGACTGTTTTTTTTAATTAAAGGATAGCACTGTCTTTAAGTAGCAGATACAGGAATAACAGCATAATAAGGTTAGACTAATGATCTTTCGTTCTTTATTTGTGCATAAGAAAGAAAAATCTAATGAAACAGAAGTAGACGTGTACAATAAAAATTGCAGGAGTGGGACAGAGGAAACCCCTAAGGGCTTGTAAAAGGAACCAAACGAACTCAAATTAAAGCAGCTGCAAAGTCTTTTCACAAACTACTAACAAATCAACGCTGAGCGGGAAGAGAATACAATTCACAAACACTACATCACTTTTATTTACTGTAGCACAAAGCATTAAAAAAACAAACACTTTTTTAGGATCTTTTTTTAAAACCCAAATAAGAAGAGTGACTGCCAAGTACCTCAAGTACTTTACTTCCTGTTTGAATTCAACCCTGCTTTTATTTTGATAAAAAGTAAGGACCTTTTGGTAGATTGAAGGTAATGATATTAACTCAACCATGGAACTATGGAACTTGTTATGGATCAAAAACTGAAAGAAAACAGGGAAAAGGAACGGTAAAAAAGTGAAATGTTTGATGTTAGAAGTGGACATTACTTTTCACTCATCAACTGAGCCAACAGCAGCGATGTTGTTCTTTTCGCATTCTCTTCCCACACTGTGGACGTTTGTCCACGGTGTGCCTAAAGGGACCAAATATGATGCACTTAAGAAGATAAACAATTAATGCATTCATTTCAAACCTTAATCAATTGGGACTAACAAGTTAATGCTGACAGCCTTAACTGTCAAAAGTAGAAAAATAAAATGAAATCCCTGGTATTTAGAATTACTGGGAAAATATTGGGATTTTTTAATACATAAACTTTTCAGGTTCAGACATGATTTTCCATCCATGGACGATACTTTTCTTTGCAAGAAAGACCAACAGTGTGAGTCTTGTATTCTTTTTTTTACAGATATCCAGTGTTTTTTCAGCACTATTTGTAACAGTAGTTGTTAAACATTGTTCAGATTCCTGTTACTCACCTCCTTTGTATACAGCGTTTCCATGCTTACCATGAATTCTTAATAAGCTCAACAGCTGCGATGATGGTCCTTTGGAAATGTCCGTCCCACTCCCACAAACCACACCCCAACCACAAGTCTTTCTGTAACAGGATTACACACACTAACACACACCAGAACCTTGAGCATACTGACATTGTGCAAAGAGAAGTTGTCAAGGTAGTCATGCTGAAAATCCCTTGTCATCGTACCCTCAGGATGTCAGAGGATGGTTTGTGGTGTTACATGTGAAAAGACCAGAAAAGCAGACGGAGTATTGTCATGGTGTATTTCTTCCACTTTACTGAGCCCCTTCGTTTAAGTCAGAAGGCAAGGCAAGTATTTATATATCACATTTCAGCAACAAGGCAATTCAAAGTGCTTCACACAAGACATCAAAAGCATCATCAGAAGAAGCAAAGAGCCTCATTAAGTAGAGAGAGTAGGCTGAAGACAATAAATAAAAGCTGGAGAAAAAAAGGTGCCGTGTTTGTTTGGTCCAAAAGAGAGTAAAGAATCACAGGGAGTTGTTTTTCACACTGTGTCGCCTGGCACCTAGTTGACTACTTAATTCAGCTGTATGGAATTTCCTCTCATTGAAATTACGTGTGTCATTTACTGGAAGTTGTTGACACTTTCCCAGCCTGTAAATCTTCATGATTCACCACATGGCACACTTACTTCAGCCGGCACCAGGGCTGTTTTACTGTGCAGAGCAGGACTGCTTGTGTCAAGTCCAAGTGAATCCCCAAACCTGCACCAGTACACATAATTATTTTTAATTACAACTTTTTGTATGGCCTTTGTTTGTCTTCGTTATGCCAGCAGTCCCTTGCTAAAGCAAGTTCTGAGATCTAAGAATACAACAACAGCATGACAATGAGGTGAAAGTGGCAAAAAAAAATGACATTTACTTAATTCGACTTGTTTTTTAAGACACTTTGCTTTCGAGTCTGTATGCAGCTGAAATGTTGGAAATGCCTCATTGCACAAAAAGACAAAGATCATTAGACCTCAGGCAGCCTCATAGTACGGCTTTACTGCCCTGTTCACCTGTTTAAACATGTGGTAAAAGGCTCATTCTGTCACTTCCCATCCTTCATGGGATTCTTCCAGGTAGGGGAGCGTTTGGCTCGGTATGATGTTGAGAAAAGATGTGCCATTGAAAAGGAAGACTACGACCTGGCCAAGAAGAAGAAGGAGCTGATGGCCGACTACAGGAAGAGTGTCTACCAGCAGCTGGAAGTCCACAACCTGCTGGATATGGCACTGGTCAGTCACCAGCGATGCAACACCTGCAACATTTCAACTGTGTAGTCAAAGCAGCAGTTGATTTTTTGTGATAGAGAAAATATATGACTTTTTCCTTGACATGATATTGAGATGAAATATCAAATCATGGAGATATAGAGAAAGTCATTACTTATACTGCTTCATCTAAATTCTGTCATCAACTTACACCATTTCACCAGATCACCAGGGCTGCAGATTCATCCCCAGCCAAGGATCCTCCTTCTCTCCTGCCTTCTCTGGCTCACCATCCAGTCCCCACCAAGCCCCTTGTGTCCACAGACACATTAAAGAAGAGGAAAAAAACGAATGCTCCTCAGAAACAACAGTCAGACTCAGAAACTGTTATTACCAAGCCAAGCAGACAACCTGAGACACCATGCACACCTGCTGCTTTACCCAAGATAGATGTAAGTGGCACTCAAGTAACACATTGCAACACATTTACAAAGAGTGAATATGCAAACAGTTTCCTCTGAAGAGTCTATGGGTGATTGGTAATGGAAGTGCATACGTGTTGATAATTAAGCTGTAGACAGTTGTACCTTTGGCTTGTCTGCTTGCTTTAATTTCTGTGTTGTTTTCAACTTTATCCAGCATGTTTCCTACATTAAGCCTCCGTAGCACATATGATGAGCATCAGGGGCTTTTATGCTTTACTCACCACCTACCCAGACCAGCCTTACTGCAGGTTTGGGTTTCACTATTTAATTAAAAGTGTGCAACAGTTGGCTGACTCTGGCGACTGCCAACCTGGCCTCGAGGCGGGGCTTTTAGACCAGTGCAAGCCAGCAGGGTGCCAGTGGGACCCGGCCACAGAGGATGTTGCTAACTGTGTTGAGCTTGGAATTATATTGAGGAAGTTAAACATCCATTGTTAACATGATGCTGAATGACTGACATATTTAGTGATCAAGTGCTAGTGAATGTTTGTGAGAAGAAGGGTAGAGGCCATTCAAGGATGGACATTTTTACACCTCAGACATTTATTAACATACCAATAAATGCAATTTAAGATGAGAAAGTTATGAAAATGTAATTCAATATTTTGTTTCAAGCTTTTAACACTAGTGTTGTTGTCTTGCGCCGACAGGTGACCAGTGTACCTTATGATGAGAGGCCTCTGCCCACCCTTCAGAGGATAGACGGGCCCGTGGAGGTCATCCAGAGTCCTGCAGAGCAGAACTCCCCCCAGCATGAAGCCCAAATGACTCCACAAAGCTCTGAGATGAGTGGGGAGCCTGAGCCACTGACAGAGAAGGTGCAGAGAGAGGCTGGCCTTCCAATTGAGGTCTTTGGGGAAAGCCTGGTAAGAGAATAAACCGCAGAAAAAAACAAGGGATTTCACTTCCACACAACATACTCTAAAGATACTTTTTTGGATCCCTTTTACATAGTTGGTACTTTTTACTATAGCATGATATTAAACACCCTTTTGTCCTGTCCATGATACATTTTTATCACAGTATATGTCAGAAGAAAAGAAGTTTGACCACCCGAGAGGGATAGAAAATTTCAATAGGGTCTTGCCTTCAAATACCCTGTACAAAATATTGAATTTCTCCTCATCTGTGTTCTCATCTAGCATACATTTTGTTTTGTCAGGCATGCAGTGCTTGACAGCTATTGTGCAGTTTCATTTGATAGTTTTTGTTGGAAACATTGGAATGCGGCTTCTGGAAAATGGGTGGCTAAATGTGGAATTTTTTAACTGGAAATTACTTAGCTAACCTTTTCCTAGATGTGATTGAAACTGCAGTGAGTTGTGTTTTTTTTATGGGTTTTTCACTTTGAGCGACATTTTCACAACATCAATAGGCATTTGAAACATTGGCGATATTAGAAATATTGATGACAAACAATTATTGGTCTGAATAATTTTTCCATATCGGCTGTTTTACCGACATAACTGATATTTGTGATATCTGTCTCGCACATTGGCTATTCTTTTACCCTCCTTTCCTTGCAGGTTGCTGGGGCATATTCCAAAACCTGGTCTTACAGAGAGGATGCCCTCATGGCTGTCCACAAGAAGCTTTTGGAGCTATCACCCACCACTCCAAGGGAGGAACTCAGGAACATGATAAGAGCTGCGACCTTCCTAGTTAAGAAGGCCCTCCTGGATAAAGTGTCATCTGTGAGTCATTTACTCAAAAGAGGCATTTCTTTGGTGTCAGAACTGTAAATGTCGTGGAACAAATATTTTGTTGTCCAGAAGACTCTATTTTAAACTGGCTTCTCTGACAAAAGGTACATTTAGTAATAGGCTTTCATGGATACGACATGCTGCTTAGACTTCTGTGTTACTTATAGCTCCTTTAGGAATAGGAGGGTGATGTCATTCTGCTGATAGGCTGGCAGGGTACAGTAGGTGTAATTCAGCTAAATCTGCATCAGTGTTTGTTGGGAAGTCACAGAATCGATAGCTTAAAAATATTGCACACGTTTCAATTACTAAATGTAATTAATGTTAACGGTCAAATATTATGCAAATACTCTCCCTCATTTGCCTGCTCCACTTTTTTAGAAAATGTATGCTGAAAGAGGCCGTTTGGAGATTTTCCCTTCATGACATCACAAAGTAATGTGACGTGTAACCCCTCCCCGAGGTGGATGACACTCCCACAGCTAGGTGTGTGTTCTGCCCTCTAAGTCTGCCTTCTCACTGTAAACTATTGGGCATGGTACTAGAAATCCTGAGTTACATCCCCCTTCCAGAGAGGGGGCGTGGTTAAACAAGCGGTGAAACTGCCGGTTCTGAGCAGGGCTAAAATAGAGGAGTTTATAGGTTTGATCAAATACAGGATCAGAGTGGATTTTTGGCAAGAAATTTCACAGACATGTTTTGTGGAGCTCTAAGACTTATTTAAGCTTTTGAAAAGGAGAATAATATGTGTCCATTAAAGAGAAAGCAAGGATTTAGGTCAGGAAACCTTAAAAAAAACTATTTAGATACAATCAGATAATTGATAACAATTAATTCAATTTCTACTACGTCCAAGTTAATTGAAAAGAAACTGCTGTCAGGAAAGCAGACCCTTTAAAGTGTTGCGGGTACCTTTTTTTTTTGCAGCTGTCAAATGCTTCTTTAAATCAGGTTCTCTGTATTCCTGTTAAAACTACAGCGAATGTTCATGATGTTTAACCATCAGCACACACTCACACATGCATACTGTTAACAATGATCCCCCTGTACCATATATACAAGCCCAGATCTCGCTCCTAGAACTGGCTGACTTTAACCAACATTTTGGACAAGGATCATGTTGTTACCCTTTCGAAGTCGCCCATAACCTGTAGTGTAATAAAAAGGGTTTGCCACAATAATTCTAGTGATTAATTTCCGAGCTACATTGATACACCGACTGCTCCATTAAGACGTACACAGGATATTTTGCTGCCCCACAACTGAGCTTCAGTTTAGTTCCTGATAAATGCAACCTTTCTCTGTAGTCATGTTTTGATATGCTGGGATTAAAAACCTACGGGTGTCTGTTGGTGGGCTTGTTTATAACGTTTGCCTGTTTGCTGCAGTTCTCAAGATGACTGTACATCTATTACTTTAGCATTAGCATTCTCTGAGCTGTGTTCTGCTGCTAAGCTGACTGAAGAAAGGACCCAAACCACACGCTGCGACTGGTTGCTCTTTTATTATGAACCGTACTATCTGTATCTCTGTACAAGTTAAAAAGCAAAAAAAGCTCTGCAACATTGCAGTCTCTTCAAAAACACATCGTGTGTCATCAGTCTCCTCTCTGGAAGTGTAGCATGGACAGATTTTTTTATTTTACGCAGTGCATGCAAATAAAAAAAAAACAGTACGTTGATAACAACAAAATTGTTTTTGAATAAAATGTGAAAATAAATTATATGAATTACTTAATACAGTTAGCATATGAATATTCAGCATGATTATTACAACCAATATAATTATGTATACATGTAGTGAACATACAAAGAAAACAAACATGTTCAAGTCAAAAATAGATGAATAACATGCTGCCTCTTTTACACATGGGGGTCTCCAGTCCATAAACATACAAGGAATGTAGTTCTTGGAAACATGAGTCGACTAGAAAAACTTATAAAATGTAATTGACAAAGTTTACATTTCAACCAATCAATCGTTATTTGTATAGTACCTACTCATAAAAATGTTATCTCAAGAAACTTACAAAAAAACAGGTAAAAGACCTTACTCTTTGTGATAATATCTACAAAGATCCAACATTAATCCATCATGAGCACTAAACATTTATCAAAGCTACAGTGGTAAGAAAAAAAACTTCCTTTTAAGAGGCAGAAACCTCAAGCAAAATTAGACTCATGATTAACAGCCATCTGCTGAAGCTGTGTTGGGCTTGAAAAATGGGATACAGGGAGATGCATACTGCTGTGTTTTTTAATACTCACTGAACTAAATAAGTGCGCAACACTAAGCAAGAAATAAACCTTTCCTCCTTTCAGCAACCATATAAAGATACTGTATATAGAGTCAACAAAAACCTCAATTCATAGCAAATAAATGTCACTCTCCGTCTGCATACTTGAACTAATTCAAAGTAAACATTAACAAGTTGAGCCTCTCTGTTGATTGATATCACCCTTGTGCTAACTTTTCTTGGTATGCCACTAAGTTTGGGGCTAACTGTAACATCCACTTGCTCTTCTCTCAGGTTTTTCATGCCTCCCTGAAGCTGCTGCAGGTACTCCTGAGCCAGCTCATCCCAGCTCTGGGGTTGGGCCGGGCTGAGCTGAACCACTGCTTGGAGCAGACTTTGCCCAGCCTGCTGGTCAGGACAGGAGAGTCAGCCAGCCGCTTAAGATCCACAGCCAATGTCTTCATACTGGTATGGTAACACATCCAAATGACATGTCTACATGGCATCATTTGTACCACTGAAGCCACGTCAATCCTTTACTTCACATCAGCTTTCCCCCTACCTCCTTTACAGCTTTGGCTTAGGGAAAGAAATCTGCAGCTTTTGTTTCACCATCTTTCCTTGGGTATTTTGCTCTGAGCTCCTTTTCCCCACTAACATAGGAAAAAAACAATAAGGTGCATGGAGTCTTGTACTATACAGTATTTAGATCTTTGCGTAGGTATTTTATAATTGTCAAAATTTGGAGGAAATTGCATTTTATGATTTTTGTCACAAAACAAATAATTCTGCCCAACAGTTTCCTCTGATGATGAAGATTTGAGTTCCCACTCATTTTTTAGGAAAGAGGAGATTATCGGCAAATAATCTGTCCACACTCCTTTCAACTCCAGTGGTGATATCTCTCTGAAAGTCAACTGCCAGCCTTTTAGTTTTGGAGGCATTTAGTTGAAAGCAGCACAGCAAGACCAGACAATAGCTTTTTAAAAATACAGTAGAATATTCAACCTATGAAATCCACTCTACTATTTTTTGGTTTTCAGCATTTGAAGACAATTTTGATGCAGTTATAGGGAACCTTAAGCACAGCAGAGTTGAATATATGCACACCTAAGAGGCTCCAGCTTTTATATCTGGGATTGAAGCTCAAATAAGAAGCTCTGAGGATTTATGGATGGTAATTCTCTGCTTATACTAACAGGGTGGGACTTTATATTATGACGAACACAAAATCATTTCAGCAACCTCCCTTTCCTATGAGGTAACTATTAAAAAGGTGGAGCAGCAGGATGACAGCATGACAGCGAACCCAAACACATTTGTCACCAAACTAACACAACTGTGCACTGATTAAAATACAAAATGAGCACGAGAGCACATAGGCAAGAGGAAATCAAGTTTGACTGCTGTTTTCTGCAATATGACGTGCACAACAAACAAACTTTACAACCTAAAAAAACCAAAGTGACAAAATACAACAATGCAACATCAAAGCAGAGGATACAAACACACAATAACTTCCTGAATTAACTTGCCACAACTGTTTACATGCTGGAGAAAATTGTATTTTGACGTGTTTATATTCACAACTGTAACTTTAAAAGTATTTACAAACTCTTTTGAACCCATGTTGGAAATAATGCCTTAAGCCACAAGAAGTAACAGCAAGACCAGCTCTAGAGTTGCAACTTTTTACCAAAAACTTTTTTTGTTTTGTTTAGAATTAGAGATGGAAGTCCAAGGGAAAAAATATATAAATAACCTTGTTGTCAGTGAAGTAATAGTAGTTGTGCTTTTATTTTTATTCATATTCAGATATAAAACACCTGAAGAACGTACTGTGAATGTAAAGGTTTATAATATCGACTGGGCTTTCAATGTGTATTGAGAACTGTATAACTGCTGTGTGAATAGAGTATGTTTCATGCATATGAGGTGAAATCAGTCTGATGGACAGCAGCCATTAGTCTGCATAGTACAATGACCAGAGAGCTGTTTTATCCACATGCCCCACAGTGAGCAAACAGAACAGCATTAATGTGTGTGGCAATCAATTCTACTTTCTAATAGCACCAATGGATGGTTGGTACTCTTTGATTTCCGCTTGATTTAGCTACAGTTTTATTATAAATGTAATTATACTTTATCTACCCCAAAACTATTTGTCTGTGAAATTCTCACCACTGTTTAAGAGGTACTGAGCACAGACACACATACAGATCCACAATACATCTGCTTGTCTCCTCTATAAATCATCTGTATCTTACGTTGGCTGTTTTTTCATAAACTCTTATAAACTGCTCTTTGACCACTTTGACTCTCTCTGTCTCCCCTGTCCCGTCAGTACAAGATCCTCCCATATTAAAAAACAAAACAAATCTCCATTACTAAATAAATATGGACACTTTACATTTGTTTATCTGTGCACGCTTCACTGTATTCACTCATGCTTAGAATGAGAGGAGCAGTATATGAAAAAAAAAAATAATGCTATTTTCACTTTAAACAGCAGTGAAATATTAAATTAGCATTACATACAAACACACAACACAGCACATATATACATACATATCCCACCCATACAAAAAAACATGAGCCCACAATACAGTTTGATATATGATATATGCAACTCAGGCAATAAGTTTAAAAGTTTAAATGTCTTCTGTCCTTACTTAAAGGGGAGGCGTTATAAAGTGCAATTGCAGTAGGTAAAAAAGTATTTTTAAATCTGTCCTTTTTGCAGCTTAGCTGCCGTAGCCTCCACTAAAAACACTCTTTTGTTCACACACGAGATTGTGTAAGGGATGCAAATGCAAAAAACAAACCATGCTGTATCCCAATCTTTAAACTCAATTTAACTGTATTAACATTTAGTGTGCACTTCCCAGTGTGTACATTGGATTGTGATTTTGCTCTGGTGGATTGATTCATAGTGTGTGTTGAGCAAAGAGAGGAGAAGGTCTCTGAGTTTTAGAAGCTTCTGTTTCAATGAGTTCAGCTCAGGGCACAGCTGTGCAGGCCATTGTTATGAAAGTCAGCCCTATGAAATCATCGTCTGGCCCTTCTAGAGCTTCTCAGAGCTCCGTCAGAGCAACTACTAAATGCCTTTTTGTGTGTTGTGCAAATTATGTTTTTGTTGTTGTGTTTATTTTTTCCCGACATACATTCCTGAGCTCTAAATGGTAAACAACTGAGATATTTTTTTTCCCCCCCGAGAGGCTTCCCCATCTTTTAATTTAATTGTACACTTGTATTCTTTGTCAGGACTTGTCTGTCCAACAGATGTTCATGATGAATTGCACATCACATTGTGTAGAATCACACAGTTTTGGTTTGTTAGTGCCCTACAGCACACACACTAACTTGATTTATATACACTTTTCTAAAGCGTCTTGAGATAACAGTTGTTGTGAATTGGCGCTATACAAATAATGATTGATTGATTTACTGTGGGATTTTGTGTGTCTACAGTGACATTGTAAACTGTAAAGTCAGTAACTTTATATCATGTCCCCCTTCCAGGAAATAGCTGTTTTGAAGGATGTACGCGTCCTGCATGGAATCCCTGGTGAGCTGGTGAAGCCCTTCAAATCCAACTTCCCTTCTCGTCTGGCTCAAAGTCGGGCTGAGCTTGTTCAGAAGCTACTTGCTGAACTTGGTACAGAGAATTCTGGCTTCACCTTGGACAATGTCATGAAAGTAAGTCAACTCAAATACTCAAAATACTGTGTATCCATTCATTATTATCTTATGTCTAAAAATGTGTCAGAGACCCCTTAGTTGATCTTCGATCTTAAAGTTGAGCAGTCATTTTGCGTTACAATAAAGGGTCAACCAGATAGAAGCTCAGGTAAAAACCTCATTAAGGAATCAAAAACACATTTTGATTCTAGCTAAGCTATCTATGAAAAAAAATGCTATGATTGTACGCAGGTATCACACAAAGCAGACTGCAATGCGGGCAGCCAAAGCTTGTCTGGACAGATTTATTGTGCCAAAAATGCAGGTGATGAGTCTGTTTACATATTTTATGTCACAGAGAATGGAAAAGATTTGTTAGTGCTCAAAATTTTCTGTCACTTAAATACAAGTGAGGACATTCATTTGGTAGAAAATCTCACTGGAACCTTGGAATTCCTAAAACAATTAGTCAATTATTTCATTGTCTTAAGAGAAAAAGTACTTCTTCCACACTATCCTTTGGCTCTGCACTCTGACGTTTTGGGTCACATTGTCCATAATGTTGAGTCTGATTTTTTCCGCTAGGGACACACTTAACATGTTAGGATATATGATGAGGATTTTATAGATGCAAAAAAAAATGAAACCTGCAGCAGCCAGTTTCGCATCAGAGTTCAGAATCAAACATGATGCAACAGATGTCTACTTCAAAGCTGTTGATAGCGACTGTTGTTTATGGCAAAGAATCAACTTTGTCTTCAGATAGCAATTACAATGTATCCTCTATAACATGTATGCACATGTACTATGAAGAAACACGTACAGCATTATGCCTGTATAATAGCACTTTAAGGAGGACTTCCATCAAGCTGATTTTCCGTTACACTTGGCTTTGTAATTATGATGTGGCTGACTGAAAGGGAAGCTGTCCCTCCCTGACTTTCTGGGCCAATTCAGTTCACCAACGCAGGCTTTAGTCAGCTCTTGTCAGCTGAGTCAGTGTTGTCACCCTTGGCTACCACTTCATGCCTCCTGCCCTCTGGTTTCCTGCAGTGACATAATATCTTGGTGCAAACTATCCAACTGTTGACCAGGCCGGGCAGGACAACAAGCTGCCCTGTCCTCCCCCTCTTTGGTTTACGACCAGTCCTCCCCTCCCCTCAGCCCTCCTCTTGACCTTACACAGCTTTTATCAGTACAAGCAAATTGTTAGGTTTGTCCTCTAAGTTTCTCTTCCTTCTAAACCTTCCAAAGCTACACAGGTGGCATTGGGTGGCCTGTGTTTACAGGTCTGTGCATGCTTGCTCAGCGCCTGTCTTCTTTGTGTTGGCTGCCTCCCATGTTTGCCTGGGAAACATTTTCAGTCTGGATTGAGATGTGACAGAAGGGCTTTGCATTATTCTGCAGATTGCCGTTTTCTTCTGTCCCATTAAACAGTCTCCTAAGAAATATGTAAGAGACTCAAGGTTTAAATTAGAGCTCATTTTTTAATTAGGATGGATTTTTTATCATACATTTGTTTGTCTGTGAGATGTTGGATTCTAATCAGATTTGGCGCTTCTGCAGCAGGCAGTCGTTCTTGTTGACTTCAGGGACTTTTAAAAAAAGTAATATGCTTTTATTAGCCACCAGAGTAACTGCAAAACAGATAAAATAATAGAGGCCATTAGGTACTGTAGAATCATTTTGTAGCCTTGATGATATTTCTCCACTGTGTGTGTTTGAGGCTTGGTTTTAGAGATTACAATGCAGGAGTTCAATCTTACAAGTTAACCTTAGGTTGTTTGGGGGTCCCCACACCTGTTTTAATCAAGGCCAATCAGTCACACACACCTGACTGGAGTGAGTAGAAAGAGTCGGTGTCCTCACACAGGTTTAACTATGATTTTATGGCAACATCATTGGTTCACTTCTTAACTGAGGGTGGTCATGCCTGAATAACTGATCAACCTGTATAAAAGCACCTCCTGCTGACCAATCAATTGTCATCATCCTGGAGCTAGGTGCACAGATTTTGAGATTGGAGGCAGAGAGTGTTTAGATACCTGCAAAGCCCTTTAGCTTTCCTGTTGATCTCTAAAGTGAGAGATAGTCATTCTACTTGTATGTATATAATACTACAATGTAGGACAATTAAGCACTATAACCTTGAATTGTTGATGTGAAGTAACCCTAATTACAAAATTGAAATATTTTTCTGTATTAATGTTGAGAATGCTGTTGTTTCGGATTAAAAATAACAAAAAGGTAGTGATTGATGAAGGAGGGGAACCTACAATTATTATTTTTTACAATGAAATCTTCCATTACAAATGTAAACAAAGCATAATTACATCTTTTGCAAATTAAACTCTATCTAGATGTGCAAATATCTGCCAATACCACTATCGTGCATTGGTATTCGGCGGTAGTAGGCCTTTCTAACTCCCACACAAAGAAATCAAACAACATGAGTCTGACTAAATCCTTGAATTCCCACATTTAAGCTCTGTTTGTATCGGCCTCTTTTAGCTCAAGTGTCTCTTCCTGATATATCTCGACGTTGTTGACTGGGCCATGGTTTTAACATTTTTCCTTTTTCTTCTGTTGTTACCTGGGTGATGTGCTCAGAGGCGGGAACTAGTGAGAACAAGGAGGGGTGATTGAATTTCCTGTAATTAAAATGAAAAGTGGTTGAGAGGACAGAGAATAATGTCAGGCTGTCCATGAGACTGTTGAGCGAGGGATTGGAGGCCTTTGTACACAGTTTACCTCTGGATGGTAGTGTTCTCCTCTGGTGATACTGCCATTGTGTCGGGACTCTTGACATAGATTATGTTGCACAATGGGCTTCTCTTGCGTTATCATGTGCACTTCTCTTTAAAGATGTTCTCAACAGTGTTGCTGTTGCAAATAAAATCTGAATTTTCAGTGGCCAGCCTTGTTTCCTCAGAATACTGTTGTATTCTGTGTACATTTTACACATTCAAATTATATACATTCTTTCCACACTATGCAAACATTCCACATCATATATCATATCTATAGTAACTAAGGAATAATAAAGACATTTTACATAAATGAACAAAAACCCAAAAGAAACAGACTAACACAAAGGCTCCGTCTGAGTTTACAGCATCTTACAGATGAACATGGTTAAACAAAAAAGGCCCACAGTCGTGAACTCCTGGAGCTGCAATTGAACCACTCTGATTGTGAGATGATCCACTGAGCCACAGCTTCCCGAATAATTCCCGAAATGTTTACCAAAAATGTAACAATATGTTTTACGTCATAATTTCCAACTGAATTGTCTATGCTCAATAGATCAGATCCAGTTCAAAACCAGCTAATGGCATATTTTAAAACGACAATATCCAGTCAGAAAAATGTCCTGCTCAAAGCCACATCAGTTAACATGCTGATAGAAATCTGTCTTTTTCCTCTCTCAGTTCTGTGCAGCAGCTTTGGAGCACAGTGCATCAGGGGTTAGAGAGCTGGCAGCACAAATCATCTTATCCATGTACCAGCAGCACAGAGCTGCTGTTCTCAGCTACCTTCCTCCCAGCGATGCTGCCGCACGGAGGAACTTCCTCTACAAAACCCTCTTTGATGGCTTTGCCAAGATTGACGGAAAGCTGGTGGAGACTCAGGTGAGAATTTTTTCTTCACTGCAATGAATTTCTTGTTGAAATGTCAAAAAAAAAATAACACTTGAGGCACACAGGGGCATCATCAGACTGCCAGGCCAAGGGTTTTTTGTTTTATTTAAATTGCACTCTTGGGTCTGTGCCGCTTGGTTAATAGTGTGTTCGGAGAGCATTTGAGACAGTATAGTTTCCCAAAACTGTACAATCACATGTGTCTGAAGTTTTCACAATGCAAGTCGTCTATTACCAACAACACATCAACCTTGCAGAGCCTGGTTGTACAGCTACTATTTTATCATACAAGAGCAAAATAGTGTCCACACAAACACTCATGCTTCTGTTGAGTTGAGAGGCAAAAGGAAATCAGAAGCTCAGTTGCTGGCATCTGTCCATGGCAAAAGCGCTGCTAAAAACTGACTCCAGGGATCAAACAAGGCACCGTTTACTGACGTCGCTACCCTAGTTACTTAGCAACACAGTATGTCTTAAAGGTACATTCCACAATTTCAACTGTTACAGATTGTTGTCACAGATTTGGCAGCTGGTAGATGAACAGGGAGATCACCAGACATGTCAGTCAAAAGCACCTGTTCAAGCTGTTCATAGCAGATATATTTAGATGAGACAACGTGATGTAATTTCTTTATTTTTATTAAGCCTACAAGGATTTCATGCTTACATATTTGGTATAATGTGGATAGATAAAGTGTTGCATTTCTTTTAGAGCATTCATGTTAGCAGAAAAAAAATTGTATCCTACTGAGAATATTCCTGGTAAAATGAAGGTTAAAAATTAAAATAAAAAATGTTTCAAGATGCATAAAACAGCAACGAACCTAATCCTATTTTCATGAGATCACGATGCATTTGATAAAGAAAGCATTGTCGTGTTGACTAGTCTAGTGTAACCATGCATCCAGTAAGACATCTTGTACTGCAAAGCTAACATGAACTGTTGTTTTACTGAAAAGCTTGTGACTCATTAAATGACTGAACTCAATCTACTGGAGACCTAGTGCTCCCATTATGTCATGTATACACCTTTGAGTAGTGATCAGCTACACAAGTTATTACCATCAAGGCCACAACATGCCACCACAGCCCCAAGAGTCTGCAGAGCTGTATGCTTTTCAACTGTAAAAGAGGGATAAAAGGAAGCCAACAAGAAAAGGAAACAGTTACTATCAGGTTAATGGTGTGTCTTTTATTTAAACTCAGACTTTGAAGAAGGGAGGTGGTGAGCAGGATGGGCAAAAAGAGAAGGCGGAGATCCACTCTCTTCAGGAGCAGCTGGCTGCCTTGAAAGAGATCACGGTAGGCGGAGCTGTTATTAGACTGTCATTACATCACTTCTTGTAATGACTACTAATTTGTATTTATAACTCTGCAAAGACTTTGTAGAATTTATACTCTCCTGGTGGTCAGAAACATGTTCTCATGTACAGATGACAGCAGTGGTTTACCATCTGTATGTACTTCTTATAGTTTGGAATCCCATCTCTTATCCTGGAGTGTCTATTTCTATAACTGCTGTTGACATGGTGAAGAGCTTCGATGTGTGTTTTGGAGACTGTGTTTTGTGACTTGTACTCATTCTCCTCCTGTGTCTCTGTGAAGGAGGGAGGCAATGGAAGCACAAAAGAACAACTGCCTAAGAAAGAAGCTCCCAAAGCTGAGAAAGGGACCCAAAAAGCTGGCAGAACAAGTATGTACACAAGATTGAAAAGACAGATTCAGCCTATAAAGATATTCTTCTAAGGCGCAAATGGGCATAGCAGTTAGGTCGCTGCCCGATGTACAGGGCTATAGTCCACCACAAACCAGCGGCCCGGGTTCAAGTCTGGCTTGTGGCTCCTTTCCAGCATGTAATTCTCCTACACTCTCTCCCTGTTTCACTATATCAACTGTCCTATCCAATAAAGGCCAAGAAGGACCAAGAAAACAAAAACTTAAGTTTTGTCTAAACTCTTAACTTTTGGCAGCATATTTCTTTAAAGCTTTACAATAGGTAGAGATGGTCACTATATTTTCTTCATTTATTTTCTTCATTTTCAGCCGCTACAAAAATTCCCCAAAGCGCGGTGACACAAAGCTCTGATGTCCAACAGTCCATCAACTACTTGGACAAGTAAGAGACTTTTAACTTTCGTTTTGATGTCATGACTTTTTGGCAACTATATGATGTAATCTGCCCTCTGATCTGATTTTTTTCAGCCTGTGTATATTCTGCGGTAAAAAGGACGAGTCATTCACAGAGGATGGGTTGGACCTTCACTACTGGAAGCATTGTCCGATGCTGAGACGCTGCGATGAATGTAGACAGGTGAACAGTTATATTTTAAATTGTAGACCTACTTACAGTCCTTTCTTTTAGAGGAACATCTGCTCGGCTGTTTAATCTCCCCCACACTAACAAGGCCTGAAGACCTTGTGTAAAGCTCTGTGCTGTGTTCACAGGTTGTTGAGATTGCCAGCCTAACCGAGCACCTACTGGGTGAATGTGAGAACCGATCCAAGTTCAGCCAGTGCCCACGCTGCTCAGAGGCCCTCGCTACTGAAGATCTGGCTCGCCATGTCCAAGGACCTGCCTGTAATCGTGAGTTCTTAGCTCTTTATTTCATGCCATACAGACATTTCTCAAAATGCTAAATGCTTAAAACTAAAAACATTATTCGATTTTGTCTTGTCCAATTTTAACCAAGAAAATATATCACACTAGACAATGTCCCACTGGACATGCACGTCTTCTAAGTGATACATGTTCAGTATTCCTGTGACAAAACCTTGTCCTCATATCGCTCTCCTTCAGCTTACTATTTGAAATAGAGCAACCTGGGTTAAGCCTGCAGGAGAAAGGCTCCTCCATAGTGATGCGTGTTTGCATTAATATCAATACTTCATATATTTGCTTGTACCTGTGAGAGCACTCTCTCTTGCTTCTCACTGAGGTTGAAGAAGGAATCAGTTCCGAGCAGAGTCCGGTGTGTTTGTGACTGATTGGTCTTGATTAAAACCATGTGTGGGGAATTTATAATGTATATACTCTTTTACTCTATCACTTGTGATGACTCATTATCCCACCTTTAGAGGTAGTAAGATGATTGTGCAGTGTTTTATCGTGTAGTGTGTCTGTCTGCATAAACACCAACACAAACGTTCTGTGTATTTTCTCTCTATTGTAGTTCTCTCTCAGGGGGTATCTTGTGCAGTTTGTTTCTACTCCAGCCTTTTGTGTTCTCTTTAAGGCCTTTTCTGGCAGCCATTGTGTTTTCATTAAGTTTTTCCAAGAACATTTAGATCCATGTCAGCTGCTTGGCAGCAGTGGTTAAGTTCCTTCTCATCAGTGCATTATTTAGTTTAGGAAGCTTGTTTATTTTTGATCAATACTTTTTCCCTCTGGGATAACTTTAAGACACCCCCAGGTGTGCAACTACATCCCACTTCCCCCTTTCCTGACAGTATCTGAAATATAAGAGTGAGAAGAAATACACAGACAAATAAATAAGCTGCTGTTTTGTCCTTTAATTTGAGGAGTTCATTAGTCCTACACTTGGTGTAAACCTCGTGTAGTCTCGACTTGGTGGGCTTCTCCATCATGATGCTCACATAAGCCTGTCACTATACCGTGACAAACTAGCTAGCCTGTTAACTGTTAGCAGCTTAGCCTGTCTCCGTCCTTAGAGTTTTACTAAAGTTACATAGAAGTGGATGATGGGACACCGATAGTATGAAAGCTTGACTTTGAGGCAGGTCTTCAGAGGGCGCACCTTATCTAACTGCTGTGAACTGCATTTGAAAAACTCATTAATCTGAAGAATTCAGGGAATTTACCTTTTCTCACAGATTACTCACAAAAAACAACTTCCTCATTTACATGAAACATTTCCTAAAACAATGATTCACTCACCCAAGGTTAATAAACATTCTCCTGCTAATCTACCTGTCTGCCTTGTTTTTAACTTGAATCTCAAAAGCTTTGTCTTCTTAAGTTGACCTTGTTTGTCACACAGTCTATCTGGGAATCTGTCTCTTTTAACCCTTAGAGCCCTGCAGAGCCAGTGCCTTCATTGACGTTTAGCTCATGATGTTATTTTCTGGAGCCTTTACAAGAATCTGTAAAGACTGTAGAGTTTAATAAACTGAGAAAGTCATCAGAATGAGCAACATAAACAAATGAAGATACCTGTAAAAAAACATGTCTGAATCCAGAAACATAAAAATGTAAATCCATGTTGTTTCAGCTACGTACAGATTTCTGTTTCATCAGTATCAAACATAGTGCCTACATGTTTTTTTGCCGATTATGTTTTTTCTTTGACAATCTACAAATGCTACTTGAAAAAAAATCTTCATTGCATAACGTTTTAGTTCCTGCTCTAGCTCTTCTTTCTGTAGTTTTAATTCAATTGTTTAACAGGGATATGCAAACTACTATCTCACTTCCTGTTAGAGTTTTAAACATGATGATGTCATTAGGCTAACGTAGAAAGAGTTGATGATAAGAGGGAAGCTTTTACATTCCACTACAAAAAGAATGACGGCTGTCTATGTAAAGCGAGAGTGTATAAAGGGTAAGAAGGAAACTATGGCACTTCAGCCACTCCACAAATGGAGGTCCGTTCTAGCAGGGAAGGACTTAGGATATCTTCTTATATTAGAGAGGCCTTTTGGATTTACAACATCAACAGTTTAACCTCATACACTAAATGAGGAATTAAGCCTCTCATGTTTCCTGTGACTTTGTTTACATTGTCTGTACAGAGAAAGAGTTGTTGTCATATAGTGTGTATTGTATATTGTAAATACTATCACATATGGGATGGGATTTTATATGATTGGGCTATACATAAGTGCTGTCACAGTTCCGGTATACTCGCTGCTTTCCTCCCACTTTCATTAACCAATCAAGGACGATTCACTGTGAGCAGGAGTGTATTTAACTTTTTTCAAATCTGCACCTGACTGAACAGTTTGACTCTGAGGGATGTTAGTCGTTATTTAATGTTCCTTATGTTACTCTTATGCTCTAGTATTTTCTTTGGTTCCGGTCTTGAAGAAGGTAATAATGAATGTATAGAGGGGTTTTTGAAATCATTTAAAGAGGGATGCAAACAAACTTCCACAGCCGCCTGGGCAAGGGTATATCATATACCATATCAGTGGCTCAGTTTATTGAACAGTCATCACATGTCAGGTGCAGTGCTTCTGTGGCCACAGTGAGACAAACAATTTCTCACAGTGCTACATGGGAATAAATAAAAAGTCAGTTGACGGGATTTGTCAATGTGCCATGTGCCAGCATTAGCTATCTAGAAGCAGAGAAGGACATTTTGTTGGATCTTCAGAAGTTGTTTTTCCTCCTGGATACCAATTCTATCAGAACCAGATAAAGACAGGGACTCAAAAGCAGACTCACACGTGGCTGAATTCAGGAAAAGGCAGAGTTTAATTACAGTCCAGGTCAGTACACAGGAAGGCAAATCATCAAGGCAAACAAATCCAAAGGGCGCAGTCAAAACGGTAAGGTAAAAATGCTGGAACTAGGTGACACACATGAACACACTACAAACTGACAACATGAGGGAGGAAACACAGGGATATATACACACAGACAATCAGGGGCTAACGAGACACAGGTGAGCACAATCAGGGTAGGAAAACCTGAGGAACAGGATCTGAAAGACAGAGACAAGGGGAAGTACAAAATAAAACAGGAACAGACAATAATCCTAAATAAGTGAGTAAAAACAAAACATGACACTAGGTAACTTTAAGGATCCTGTTAAATTCAGTTTGAAGGAACCTACCTACCTTAAGAAAGAGATGAACTGTATCAGCACTTATACTCTATCTCTGTCACCAGCCATATGTTGACAGTGAGCTTTCTGTGCAATCACAAACTGAAAACATCAAGTGTTTCTCTCCACTTGTTCACATGAGAGAGGAAATAGATTGTGTTTACCCTAATCTTTCCAAAGGTGTGTTCTTCTGTTCCCCTTCAGCGTTAAAGTGACCTTTCCTGTAATTGTATGACAGGTGGCTTAAAGGTGTCGTGTTTCTATTTCAGCCCCCGTTTCAGGTAAAGGATCCAACCACTGTCCTCTGTGTCACAACAACTTCCTGCCTGGAGAGGAGGTGAGGTCTTTAACACGCACACTCTTGTTATTTATGCGTTCATATGAAGCAATGATTTGATTGAAGCCAGTAGTTTGTTTGATATGCATTATGTGCAAATTACTAAACACTGTGGAGTGTTTATCTTTTTACATTAATAGATCTGAATGTAGTTTAGTAGCAACATTTTTCTTTGATTGAATTAAGTTGCTTTTTCAAAAACAGCGGTTGAAGGCTGTCTCATTTGTCTCTTTGCTAAAAGGAAAAAAAAAGACAGTAGGTCAGTTGTGCAGAGCTGCTTCTGTAGAAAAATACAGTTAATGCAGACGAGAAAAAAGGTTCTCAAAGAAAGCCGTCTTTAACTCGATAAACTTTGATTTTTTACTCCTCTATATCAACACTCAAACTAAAGACCGTCTATTCTTAGGTTGGAGGTACAAACAGGTGTTTTGTTGAAAACACAGCTATTGTCGACCTTCTGAGACTTCAAAGGAGGGAGAGCCTTTGTTCTTAATAGCCTGTTCATCGTCTCCACATCACGTACATGCCATCACATTTTTCACATTCCTTTGAGGACAAGGAAAGACAAATGTCCCTTTTTATAAATGGAACTTCCCTGATTCTAATTTGTGAACTACATTTAGTATAAATCAGTTCTTTTCATAGTTATTTCTCACTGGTGAGGACTTCATCTTTCAATGGGTCTTGGAAAACTTCCTCTAATTCCAGTGGTAGAGACCACCTTCATGTTCAAAGTAACTAAATTCTTTTTGTTGTGTCGGTAATTGGTTAACCTGTCACAGGAAAAAAAAGTTGAAGTTAAAGATTTCACAGGTGATCTCATTTGGTAGTAGGATAAGGAGCTCAGGTAGCCTAGCGGTTAGTGTGCACCCCCCATGTACAGAGGCATAGTCCTCCAAGCGTGCGACCCCGGGTTTGAATCTTTTCCCACGTCATTTCCCACTCTCTCTCTCCCCCCAATTTTCAACTCTATCCACTGTCCTATCTCTAAAATAAAAGCATAAAAAAAAAATCAACCTTAAAAAAATAATTAGAAGACCAGTGAAAAATATGTGAATACACTGAAAATGATTGTCAAAGTTGATATTTCAAAATGTGACTAAAGAAAAACAAAAGTTCAGTTCTTGCTTTTCATTGCTCTTCAAGCTGCTCATCCAGTACTACCTCTCAGTGTCAGTCTGCTGTTTGTGTGATAGAGATGTTTCAAAGGTTCAGCAGTGTACAAGATTTCCTACCCCACTCAAGGATGTACGGACAGTGTCACCTTCCATTGGTCTTCCGTTACTTTTCTGTCATTGTGGAGCCTAATAAATCATTCAACTTGTCTTAAAAGACCCACAAGAGCTACAAGAGTTTCTCAAAGGTCAGTCTGAGCTCTCCTGGCCCGGCCTGCCCCAAGTTTGCTGCAGCACATTATAACACATTTCTACACATTATTTGATGAGGAGTTAAATGTGTCATTCCAATAGCAGATGTTGTGACCTTTGGTAGTTTCTATCTTATCTATAATTGCTTTATTCCATTAACCATGCCACAGTAAGCCCTGACATTAAAGCAGCATGAAAACAGCGGCATCAGTTAATTTAAGTACTGTCCCGTGTTGTTCCTTTAAGTTTTATTTGTTGGACAAAATGACCGATATGCTCTGTTACGGAAGGCTTTAGTCCTCCAAGCTGGCGGCCCGGGTTTGAATCCGACCTGTGGCTCCTTTCCCAAATGCCATTCCCCACTCTCATTCCCTCCATGATTTCCGAATCTGTCCACTATCCTATCTCTACAATAAAGGAGAAAAAAAGACCCCAAAAAAATCTTGAAAAAGAAATGCAAAATTGTGATTTTGTCTTTATTATTTAACATAGAAACGTGTACTGTACTGGTGTTACAGTCTACTGTACTTTACTATTTCATCATTTGTGTTCCATACAAACCAGTCCATGTTGCGGTAGGTTAAAGATATCAGAGTATATTGACACTATTCCCTAATGTAGAGAGACACGACAGTATACAGTATATAGCATTAGGGCTGGGAATCTTTGGGTATCTCACGATTCCATTTGATTCTTGTGGTCACTTTTCAATGCAGAATCTATTTTCGATTCAAAACGATTCTGCATTCATGATTCAAAGTCTATTTTTGAATTAGTGCATACTTCAGGATCTACTCCAGTCATCTGTGAGACTGGCTGAATTTCTTTCTGCTCCATTTGGCATTCTACTGAGTTAAAGAGCTAGCATTAGCACTTAGCATGGAGTGACAGATTAGCAACACAAAAAAAAAAAATTTGGAAGTTATGAATCTATTTAAAATCTCACAAGATAAGAATCTGGATTTTTACAAAAATCGATTTTTCTTCCCTACCTCTATAGCATTTTTATAACTCATTTGATTGATTCCTCATAGTATAAATCAGAATGTGCTTTATCACACCTTGGAAATGGATAGAAGAACAAACAAACATGAATTCATATTCTTGCTGTCAGTGCCCTGAGCATGGACTGCATGAAAGACTGCAGTGTTATTGGGGAGAGAGGGCAACCGTACAGACCTTGACTGAGCCTACAGTCAACCTTTAGTAGCCCAGATTCAGAAAGTGGAGGGGATGGGGGGAAGAGAAAAAATGGCCTCACTGAGCTACTTTGTCCTTCTTCCAGGCCTGGAAGACTCACCTCATGGGCAGGGAGGGCTGTAAACAAAACTCACGCAGGACTGCGGTGTCCCAGAGAACTCAGCCAGCACAAGGTAAAGCATTCATACACACCCTCTGCTTCCAGCCACCTCCCCAACGCTCAGAGTGAGAGTTATACAAAGTGTCCATGCTTGTTGGTAAAAAAAAAAATCATGTTGCAGCTTTTTCACTATGGCTTCCTGCCTCCGGGCACAAAATGAGACACGTAAAAATAGTGACATAGTTGGAGTTGAGTGTAAAGGATATTTATGTATCCATCTTGAATGATTTGTTGCAATCATGTTAGAGTGTAAGTCCGTTGTTTTTGACAAAAACATGCAGCATCACAAGAACCCTCTTTTTTTAAGTAGGTTTGATTTTAGTCCAAATGCAGTTTGTTGATGACAAATTGGTCTGTCCCAGATTTTGCCAGATTTTTACAACAAGGGTGGTTTGCGACACCATGATGCTTTTAGGAGATACAGTACCTTAAAAAAACCCAAAACAATGAATAAGCCATTCTTATCATCTTGTAGTGAATGATTTGCCCATGTGTTTGACTTGCCACATCATACAGTTTACCTATCAAAATAGTTTATGGAAGGTGGTAAACCCTCCGATCCTGACACATCTTTTCTCTTGATTGCGCTAGTTAATGGGTAGCGAGGCAAACAGTTGCCTCACTGTTTAATATGTAGCATTCAAAAGGTTCCAATAATCATTAATGTATTTTTCTGTCTCAAAGCTGTCATTTAAGAGGGTGTTCTTCATGGCAGGAAAAGTAACCTGTGGAAAACCTACTGTTGTTTTTGCTTTTCCTATTACTTACTGTGCATACTTGAGTAAAACTTTGAATGAGAGACTTGGAATTTGTGATTTTGGCATTTTTCCACTTCCTCCAGTAAGCTGACACAGTTAGATAGACATTTCTTGTGATGTGACTGCAGCAAAGACTCAGTGACATTGCACTAATGAAGAGTAAACAACCATAAGGTGCTGACATCTTGAAACTTCTTGTATGTACATTCAACACGGGTAATGCAGGCTCCTTTTGTTTGCAGGCAAATACTGAAGTTTTCAAAAAGTCCCTTTCTTCCCAGTTGATTGCGCACCTTCTCTAGTTTAGGTATAATAAAGGTTCACTGTACAGATGTCCTTTTGTGTGTATTTGTTTTTGTGCATACAGGGCGAGCTGTTGGTGGAGCTAAGATGAAACAGTCGTGGTCAGTCGGGGCCAGACCTAGACCTAGGCCCATGGGCAGAGGAAGCCGGATACCAGCTCTGGCATCCTTGAGCAGAGGGCAAACTCCAGGAAAGAGTTGAAGTTTTTTTGAAGCCAGCAGCAGCACACCCCCCCCCCCCCCCACACTCCTTTATAATTTCAGCATTTGTAAAAATGGAACAACAACCTGTCTATTAAAATCTACTTGTTCAGACTCTATAGATGTTGGTTGTGATCAGTGATGTAATCCATCCTGAAAAGAGACAGCTGGACTCACCAAATGTTAGATCTCTTGCTTCTTTTGTCTGTGAGTCAGGCCTCCGGTGTCACAAACCTGCTAGGCTAGTTAACATGAGCACACTGGGTTTACTTATATCTCCTTTCTCAGTTTTGAGGCACTTTTTTTCTTCTACAAATTGCTGTTTGTTGTCACCTCTGTGGTAAGGAAAAGTAAATTCTACCTTCCAGGGTTTCAGATGAAAATGTGTCGTCTCCAAGCCAAAGTGGATGTAACTCTAATGACATCACTCTGACATCATCAGGGTTCTTTTCTCGCCCTGACTAATATACTTCAGAGCCACAGAAGACAGTATTATACAAGTGCTTTCACAGGCTAGCATACTTACCTTTATTAGTATTCTTTCAAATAGTTCCCTTTAAAACTGCACAACCATACAATGCTGCTGTCAATTTGTTAATTTAAAAAAGTTTATTTAAAAAAAGAGGAATGTTTATATACAAATCTTTTTGTAAAGCAACAACCAAAACAAAAAAAAATGTGTGATGACTTAATGATTGTGTCTGCATAGGATGAAACAGACAAGAATCAGATCAATAGCAGAAGAATATCGACTGAAACATAAAAACACTCCACTAGAGCAGTGGTTTTCAACTGGTGGGTGGGGACCCAAAAAAATGTTTGTTTTGTTCAGTTTGTAGCTTCCTTCAGATATTGTGTATCCTCTGAGGTACACAAATATGTGACAGAAGCTGCAAACCGCACAATATTGCATTCAATAAATCTAATTGGTTGAAAATGATCCAAAAATTGTTTTTTCAGGGAGGAGTCGTGGTGGGTCCTGAGGCTAGAAGAGTTGAGACCCACTGCACTACAGCACTTCACTCCACTAGTAGCGGCACTAAGAGAACTGAAGTTTAATTACAAGCAGGAGACTTTCCTCCCTTTGCAACACTCCAGCAGACGATACTTCAATCCTAAAGCCCGCTGAAACCTGAATGTATCTTGTCAGCATTACAATTTTGCCATCTGTTTACATGTTTATATCCCGTATTGAATAGATTGTATTAAAGAAAAGAAGTAGGACTTTTGCCAAACGGACAACGCTTCATTGCTGAATATTCTGTTTAATTTATTTATTTTCCTGCTTAATGTCTGACAATCTGAACTCAATATGTTCAAGTGAGAGCGCCAAAAGAGAGACTTTAACTTAATATAACTATGACAGAAAATGAAATAGACAGGAAGTGCTGTAGACATGCAGTAGAACTAGTATAGCACTTTATTCTTCAAGTCGGCTTTATTTCAGCGGAGTCTGATTCACACCGAGTCACCTCTGACACCTCTGTGGTGTTACATTGGTTTTGACCACAAACTCATGTTTTTAGGAACTCTGATGATCATTCAAATGGTTTATAGTTCAAACCATCATTTTTACTACTGCGATTGTACTACAGTATTATGACGATTGTTGATTGTAATATATCTTATGTTCACGTAATGCCAAGAAGAACGGAAACATCCCTAAAACAGTCTGAGGTGGATTTGGTATTCTACTTTTTATAAATTGTAATATCAGCAAGGTCAATTTGATTGCTGCTTGTGTCAACACTAACTGTTCATTTTAGTGGAGGAACAAATGAAGACATGTTGTTTATAGTTGATGTGATAATACACAAATGATGAGGACGTGGCTTTAACATGCTTCTGTACTGAGATCCATTGCAGTGTATATTTGAGTAGTCAGTATTTTCTGAGTGATAACTTTGGCATAAAATGAATAATTGTCTGTAAAAGCATCTTTATTTGTTTAAATAAAGGCACATTAAGCTGAACATTGAGCTAGTTTCTTGTTCTGTTTAAGAGCTGATGGTCCCTGTGGTTAGCAGCTCTAATAGCCCTTCATGTCAATGAGTTGGGACCAAACAATACACAAAACACCCCCTCCCTCTAATCTGTCATGTAATGTGATGCTCTCCAGTTGTTTTCACATACTAATAAAAATGCAGCAACATCCACTCTTCATTTACAGAGCTGACGAAGAGCTCAGACTTTATTTATACAATCATATCATTGTATATGATTACAGGTCTTTAGTTTCTTTGGTTTTTAGACCTGCCTTTGAAATGATAATGATAAAGAAAAATGTGAAATGAACAATGTACTAAAACAATTAATTGTCATGTCAAAAAAAACTTCACCGTTTATATATATATATATATATATATATATATATATTTCATCCCTAAAGTTTCCCTCACTTGTCAAAACTGAAATCATGATGTCAGAAAATGACTATTAAAAAAAAATCTAACCCCCTGCATAAAACACAGACACCTTCACAACGATGTACATTAACATTTGATTCCAGGTTAACACAGCAGAGAGATGACTCTCCAATCGGAAATAGCACCAAGAATCAGAAAAAAAGGGAAGCTCACTAATGAGTTGTGTGGTATGTTTTTGGAAAATCAATCACATGTGGAGTGAAAATCCTTTTTAATATTACATTTAGAAATGCATGACAGAATGTGCTGTATACATATCAGTGAAATTCAAATATTTACTGAATTAAATATAGATTTAATTACATTTGTATTATAGTTTCATGGATGATAAAGCCACCCTCCCTTCACACTACTGCAGATTCAGTAATGAAGTGTAAGGATCATCAGTTACAGACGATGTTGTATTCCAACAATCAGCTCAGCTTAAGTACATTTGATTGACTTTATTTGATATCAGTTGACAATCATATGGAGGTCCTTTTAGCGCACATCAGAGCCTCGTTGTGCACCACGCTCCACATCCTCAGTAGCTCGTTTGCGCTCAGTTTGTGCACCACGATGAGGTTTTTATAAAAGCACGGCTCGTTGTTCATGGGGCTCACCCTGCGCCTGGTGATGCCGAAGGTCCTGAAGCCCGGGTGCAACTCTGGGGCCAAGTGAAGCTTCTGCATGCACATCCCCAAAAACACATCGTCAATAGGGTATAACTCCAGGTCCTCTGAGACCACAAAGAGCCTCCTGGCGAGCTGGGAGGACATGAGAAACCCCCCACCTCCCACGTAAGGAGGATATGGCTTATCATAGAGCTCTTTGGGAATGTAATATTTGCTCTGCCGGTTTCGGATAGGGATCGCCTTGGAGATGGTGTCCCCCACAAATAAGTCTGCCTCTTTGTGATCCTCCACTTTGAAGCCGATGAGTTCCAGCAGGTTGTGCGTGTTCACAAATACATCATCATCTCCTTTGAATATGAACTGGACGCCGGAGCAGTAGATGTCGAACCACTTGAGAAAGTTGACCTCTTTCAGGGTCAAGTTAAAGAAAGTGTCCATGAAGTCCCACTGGAGGATGTCCCCATAGATCCTGTCCTCATACTCGATCAGTTTCTGGAGGTTATTTGTGTCTTTGCCAGTCGTTGGGCTCCCTAAAAGAAATAAAGTTTTAATTTTCTTCCCATCCACCGTGTGCTCGTTGCCCCAGGTTTTACGCACAGCCTCGCGCCTGTCGTGCTGCTCGATAACGGATTTCACCACCATGAGGAGGTGCACCTCTCCATCCGCGCATTTCTCCGGGTGGTTGATGAGCATGGGGAAGTACCTGCAGTGTCTGTGCAGAACAAACTGGTGAAACCTCGGGTCCAAGCGCTTGAACCAGTCTTTGGTCCTCACAGACGCGTCCTCGCTGCAGTTGAGAACCTGTGCGTCCCACGAAGCCGGAGTCCCGTTGGTGACCCGCTGCGCATCTAAATCGTTGCTAAGCACCGGAGAGTCTGAGCTCCTCAAATTATTTTTCGTGGCTTCATTCTTGAATGAAAAACAGTCGGAGCCGCACAAGCCGGCATCCGAATATGCTTTACTCCTACTCCATCCTTCTCAGCCAGCTTCAGCTTGTGGATCATGAGAAAAGAAGCGAAGACGAGAGACAAACTCAGCAGGGGTTTCAGCAGACCGACTCGCTTTCTTCGGAAAAGGTGATCCATGGTTCTCTGTGAGACCCTCATACGCTGTACATTTCGCCTTCATTGTGTTCAACAACTGTGTGCCCAGGTGGGATCAGCCACCGCCATCCCTGCTCAATTGGACACTAGTGGTCGCGTCCTGGGCTGCATGAGAGCGCAGACTCTGAGGTGGTCCCGGTGTTTCTTCTGCCCATCACGTCTCTCACAGGAGCCACACATCGCAGGTAGAATGATGCCGGATTCGCCACATTTCCTCGGGCTTCCTCTCTAGCCTCTGGTTCTTCACAAACTGGCTGAAGACCGGTAGCAGATTCTCTCTCCCTCTCTCTCTCCCCCAAGTATCCCCCTCCCAAAAAATATCTCCTCCCCCTAACGAGCCACCCTGTTCAGGTTTCTCATTTCTTACACATACCAGGTGTCCACCAAGTTAATGTCATTCATAAAGAGGTTTTTTTTCTCTCTCTCTAGCCATTGCATTTTAAACATAAATTCACACGACTGTAATTTATTTGTATGTCTTTATTTCGAACATAAATGAAGATAGATAAATAAGCATTACAAACCGATATAGAATAATACCAAATATAAACATATATAATTATATTTAAGTATAATTCGTATTTCGGTATATATTATGTACTGTTATGGTAAATGTAGCATATATATTTTATGTGCCCAACTAGGGGTAAGAGTTAAAAATTAGCAAAGGTTATAAACTCTGCGCAATATTTCAGCAGCAGTGTCATGCTCTGTATTGCAGAAAATGTTAAAACTGATAGTACTTATCAAATAAATAAATTCAATTCAACATGAAAACTTAACCCAAACAACAATTTAACCTGCAATATTTAACTGAATGCCTAAACGTGTTATAGAGGAGTTAGATGAAAATAACAACAAAACAGTCATTGGAGCCTTTACAGCTTAAAAGTAATCAATAACGGACTTCAAAATGAATCTTTATTTAACCTCATAGACTATAAGGAACTTAGCTTGGGTTACAAAAGGGATCAGCAGAGCAAAGGAATACATATGCCAAAGCTGCTTTCAGGAAAACAGACTTTATTTATATATATAAAAAAAACATGTTTTAGGGCACAGAAAACATTGGCTACTGAAGGAAAATATAACTAATACAAATCTTCCAATTAGTTGAAAACACGTGACTTTGTTTCTGTATAGGCATTCAGAAGCTCCATAATAGAACCAGTTCATCATCTTTGACGTTTCAGCTTCTCTGTTCGATTACAAACATCCACACGTGAGAACCCAGCCACAAAGAAAGCTCATCCAAGAGATTATTTGGATTTAGGGAATGGACAAGCTGAAAAATATACTGAATAGTTATAGCCTACTTGTCATTCCTTTTATTTGAGTGGCCGACCAGTAGACTTTAAAGCCCTTATTAATACCATATAGGGAAATCAAAATCCAATGTTGTTTTTGATTGGAACAAAGCTGTAAAGACTGCAGAGTGACAGTCATAACACATGCGCTTATTCGCTACAATAAAAAAAAGACCTCTAGCACACTCCAGCGGACATATTTGGAATTACTCTTGTTTCAGCTTACTCCTCCCCGTCCGTCACCTCAAGACGGCCCAGTCAATCTGTTATCTCGGCGCTGAATCCCAAACAAAAGCGTTCACGGCATTGCTGTCACATATTCTTCGCCATACTCTACTCTTATTCTGACTGAGGACCAGTCAGACATTACCGTATGATAAAGAGAACAGAAACAATACAACCATATGGAGCTAACAGCTAGCTGCACCATCTGTTAGTTTTAGAGGCGTGTAAGCGGAAATTGTGATATTGCCTTCAAAATAAAATCATGGAAATGCCATTGAATATGAATACGGGGATATTAACATTTTTAGAGATGGCCAAACGATCAGTCGATATCTGAAGTAATAAAAAAACATTAAACAAAAACACTTTCTAATATTTACTAGGGCTTTATGGACAGGAACAGTCTTAAAACTACTGACATATGTAGATGTACATCTAAAATTCGTATTTAGATAACCCAGCAATAAAAAGGAATCCCATCACAGAAAACAGAGTAAAATGTGTATTTAAATGCCTATGAAATTTTACGAACACTTTTTGCTATTAAAAGTAAGGAAGCCCTGATGAACTGAGAAGCTGTGACCGCTGAGTGAACCTCTGAGTGAACCTCACCATCCGACCGGAAATACATTTTTGTGAACCTGCCAAAGACTTACGGAGACGACGAAGCTGTTAGATGTAGCAGTTGTACGTAGACTATCACTTTACATGATTTAGAGGCTAATAACAAGAAAACTGACACCGGGAGCGTCAAAACACAAATAAAAACACCGGCAAATGCTGCATAAGGTAAGCGTTAGGCTAGGCTAGTCCGTTAGGAAATGAGTTATTTGTAACCTATTGGTATCCTGCTAGCTGAATTAGCTTGTTGCTAATAACCGAGGTCTTTTATAAACTTCCTCTAATACTCACTCCAACATTTGTCTTCGGAAAGTTGTAGTTTGATGAAATGTAAGCATATATGATAGTGCATTAATATTCCTACCCAGCCATATTCACATGAGAGTCATCTTTAAACGCTTTGTTAGAAAAACACGTGACTTTGAAGATGACAACAATCGTTGACGTTTAAATGTTATCAGTCAAATCCTGTGTGTCCATGTGGACCTGTTCAGTCGTGTTTACATCACAAAGCATGAAGCTGGCTGCATTTCTTTCCATCTTTTTCTATGGAACAGTAGATCACTGATTCTTTGTAATCTTTCCCAGGGTTACTTTGACTGATTTGATCATTGTAGTCCAGCAGTGGTTATCAGAGACTGCTTTTCAAATGAACACAGACATACCATGTGAGGATTAACTAAGTTAACCTGTTAAAAGATCTGTGCATGAAGAAGTGGTGCCTAACAGTGAACATCGAACATCTTGATTCTAAAGTAAGATTTAAAAAAAATTGGACAAAATAAATAACACGATTCCCCTTTTGCATGATTGTGTTTAGGAAAAAGCACCTGGCTTAGCAAGCTAAGGTTAGACCTGCTGGTGTTATGACAGCTGACTACCCTGCCAAGGCTGATATGATGTGCAGCAACTAAACAAATATTGAAGTGTGAATATCAGGTATAGCTTCGTAGTTTCATTGTCCGTATGCTGTTTGTAATGTTTTATAAAGTAGCTGTGCTTGTGATGTCTCATCCTGAGAATTGAGAATAACTCCTAAATCAAAAAGTGCTGCTCTTCTTTCAACACAAAGGATGTTTCAAATAGGTTTTTTTCTTTGCTCTTCTGTTCTTCCTCATCCATCCTGTTAACTACCTCACAGGACTGACTAAATATTCTGATGATGATAATTATAATGATTAGCTGTCCTTAAGTGGTGGCTATAAATGAGTATTGTTACAAGGGACTAAAAAAAAAGTGATGTTGCCTTTCAGATGCCCGGTCAACCTGATGGCTTGAAACCCAGAAAGAGGAAGAGTAGCTCTGAGGTCAAAAGCTCCAGAAAGGTTTGTGTACATGTGTTACACAGAAGACAATGAATTGCACATTAAGCATGTCATGTGCTGCTGTTTGTTATTAAATAAGTGTTTAACTTTCCGCTGCAGGCCTCTGCTACAAGGAGGAGATGTACACAAAGTCCAAAGACACACTCGTCAGCAGAGAGCACATCTGTAGTCGGTGGTTTAAGTAAAGTAGACGCACCTCAAGAGAGACTCTCCAGCATCAGCTGCGAATGCACTCTGACCGCAGGCCGGGGGAGATGCCTGGCATCACCGGAGCTCGAAGGACAGGAGGGCAAAGAGAATGAACTCAAGACAGGGCTGGATATGGACAGCTGCAGATTGAATAATACCTTTGACAAACCGGAGTCTGAGGACATGGAATGTGACGATTCTGTCAGACACATGTTCCCAGATGACGACAGTAATCAGATTCTTCCTGTGGAGCAGTTCTTTGGAAACTTGGATACAGTACAGGTGAGCCGTGTTTATCTATCTCTACCAAATGAATAAACTGCATCCACTTTGATGAGAGTTTCTGCTTGAGTGCCATAAATGAAGATTCTCTGTAATGCCACTTCTGCCTTTGACATGGAACCAAATGCTGCCATACTACTGTCCCAGTTTGTAATATTTACACAGCGTTGCACCGTTATGGGAACAGAAGAGGCGTGACGTCCAAACAAATAATACTGGCACCAAACTCACTGCCAGTACTGCTTTGTCCCGCCAGCTTCGTCATTTAAACGCCCTTTTGCCTCTGTTATGTCTCTTGTTACTTCCTTGCTGCTGGCTCAGTGGTGGAAAGAATTCACCCCACCATTTCACCTCTTTTCCTTTTATCCAGATCGCGTGGCGCAGTAGAGGCCTTACAGTCTCACCTTCAACATGCTGTGCTCACTAGAATTATACTACATAAATGCTCAATGCATTTTATTAAATTCTGTAAAATTCTTCAATTCAATATGTCAGCTTTTGTCCTCTGCCTGACTTGTACAAAATCTGGATAAATCTGCCAGGCTTCTTTAACAATCTTAATTCAAACAACATTGTGCACCGAGCAATCCTCCTGCCTCAGGGTTCGTCTTCAGTTCAGAACCAACGACTGCTCAAGGCATGTTTGAGGCCCCAAGTGGCCGACCAATGTCTCATTTGTAACTGAATACTGGAAGCTGTATCATCTAAACACTCCAGCTGTTATCAACATTAACCACAATAACTAGAGATGTCGTCATGACCTCATCATGAAAAAAAAACTGAGAGCAAGTTTGATGATAATTGGTCGTTCACAGATGAGGTTCGAGGCCCAGAGCGTGATGACCTTTCCCCTTGGGGATGCCTTTGTGCATCATTCGCTCCAAACTGTTTGGCCTCTGTCACTACCTAAGCTGTATGCATAACAGCTAAACAATGTTTGACCACCATTCTGCCTCTTTAGCCTTTACATGGATCAGTGAAGCAGGATAATGGTATAACAGGAGGTTTGTTAGTCAGGTTGGAAATGTTGGCCAGTTCAGAATTGGTTATGATGAAAAAAACTCAAGACTAAACATAGATAAGGCCCCAAATCTATTACCAAGTACATGTCTCCAGTTTGATAACTAAAAAGACATGACTGTACATGATTGTAGGACTTTGTGACATTTAGATCAGAGCTCACTCTCTGGTATGGTATGGGGTTGGGGAGTGAGAGGTGTTTAAACAGTGGTGTTTTTTGGGCAAAAATACTAACGGTTGTATGTATGGAAGCTAGATTTTTTTGTTGATAAATGTATCTACCCCTATTTGAAAAAATCCCATAATCATCACTTATGACCTGCTAGAACTCTTCATAAAAGAATTCTTATTTCTTCTACAGGACTTCCCTCAGAGGTCATCAGCCTCTTCTGCCCGTGTTCAGAGGGAGAACGGGAGACGACACTACTTTGCACTGGAGGACAGTGACGAAGAGGAGCTAGACTTCAGCACTATGCAGAAAGGAGACGGAGGGGGCATTCAGTGACAAGGAGCTGCACTAATGAATGTAGTGGACTCATTGTCTTACCCTGTGGAAGGACATTAAACCCCTCAGAACTGAGGAAAAATCAGCCAAATTAAACTTTTAAGTGGGATTGAGGTTAGTGTTGACTTGCTGAAGCTAAATACGCTTTAGGCCAAACAAACAGTATCTGCCATAAACTTGCTCTTAGTAGCTCACTAAGGGCTTAAGTGGCTTTTTTTTGCACTCAGAAATCGAGCATTAAATTTGTTGTTAAACATTTACCAAAAGTATTTGCAGCATGACGGTTAGCAGTTTGAAAGCAAGTCCTTGATTGGCTGTCTAAATACCAAAAACTGCTCTGTAGTATTCAACCACTTACAAGTGGCATGATGTCAGAGTAATATTTCTGATATTTTTTAAGGTTGCCACAGTAATGATGCTCATAGTCATCAGTAAGGAACATATTTAGTGTGTAAATACTACATATTGATTTCATATTTATAGATTAAATTCTGCCCCTGAATCAGTCACCTTTGGTGTTAGCTCGAGCAGTGGTTTTTAACCGGTGGAGCGGGACCCAAAAGTGGGTCACTAAGCCCCTTTCAGTGGGTCGCAAAAGGACATCTTGGAAAAATAATCAGTGTCAAAAAATCTAAGATGTGCTTTAAAAAAATATTGTTGTTTTCCTAACTCTTTGTTGTTGAACATGTTTTAGTATACAATCTAAATAGCACAATTTTCATTAATAACATTTGAGAGGTTAACTTTTTTCAGGAATTTGGGTTGCAATTTCTCATCAATGGGTTTGTGATGGGTCCCGAGGCTCGACCAGTCAAGAACCACTGAGCTAGAGGGTGTGTTGGAAAAGCACTTTATTTAAACTAATCCGTCCACAGCACACCATAAAATACTTCAAAATGTGAGGTCAAGTGTGCAGGTCGAGAAATTAGTGTTGCCAAATAGTGCTGGATCAAAACAAAACAGGTCACTTGAGCTGTTCACAGTTTTTGTAGTATTTTGTATATACGTTAATGTGACAATCCAATCAAGGTGTTTTATCAAATGTTTTATATATTTTTACCGCCTTATTTATGCCAAAAAAAAAAAGCTTTTCATATTCGTCTATGCAACTTTGTGCCTCACTCTTCAAGCATTGTATAATCAGTTCATGCAGTTTACATCATTGTGCCAATACAAGAACAAATAAATGTTTTTTCTCATGATTTCATCCTTTGTTTCACTCTTAATTACTTTGTGTCAAACAAATCACTGTCGGTCTGTTTTTTTAAGATACACTGACCTTGGGGCACTGTTGGTCGAGTGGTTAGGGCGTGTGTCCCATGTACAGAGGCTGTAGTCCTCAAAGCGGGCAGTCGGGTTCAAATCCGACCTGTGGCTCATTTCCCGCATGTTATTCTCCACTCTCTCTGTCCCTAATATCTGACTCTATCCACTGTCGTGTCTCTGCAATAAAGGCTCAAAAAGCCCCAAAATGAATCTTTAAATTTTTTTAAAAAATGGATACACTGACCACAAGCAAAATATATAATGAGATAAAAATAATCAAGTGAGGTAAAAAGTAGTGGTAATGTTGTCACAGTTTAAACGCTTACTTTTCACAAACACATTCACACCAGGCGCCTCTTCTTCCCTTTGGCTTTCTGTTTTGCCTGCTCTGTTTTACTGGCTGGTTTTAAAATCTTTGTGGTGTCGCACAGCAGGTTGTGCGCTCCTTTCTTGTGGCACACGATGTGAACCAGTTTGAGGTTCTCCCTGGTGAACAGCAAGCCGTAGAAGTAGTTCAGGTTGACATCTGTGCTCTTGTGATTGTGTAGAACCTCCAGCAGAGCGGGAATGACCGACCTCTTCTTCTCGATCCTTGACACATGAAGAAGAAATAAAAGAGTGTATTTTGTTCCAGTTCATAAACACGGGTAGGTGTACAGCAGGGGTGGGCAACTGGCGGCCCCCATCAACCCTCAACGTGGCCCTCAGGTTAATTTTTTACACATCAATGATTTGGAAACATGAAGAAAACATGATGAAATCTGCCATGAAATCATAAAAAAAAAAAACAGAAATATGTCCATAATAATATTTGATCACCGGTACATGTTGAGTTAAATTGAGACATAATTGACTGTAATCGTTTAATTTGGCCCTCTGGCAGTGAGAATTAAATGAATGTGGCCCTTGCTGTCACCAAAGTTGCCCATCCCTGGTGTACAGTGTTGTGGTTAAAGTGCTAAAGACTCCAGTATAGAAGCATAGAATAAAGCACACCAGGAGGGAGAGGGGGTGTGTACACAGTCAGGAGGGTTTCAGGTAGTGAAGACATGGAGGGTTGTAGCCTGCCACTACATTGGCCTGCTCATCTGTCTACGTGTATCCATTAGGAGATATGATCTATCCAGCAAAGAGAAACATCTCTAACTTGGTCAAACTGACTTGAGGATGCACATGTTATTTAGGTGGCAACATGATCATGGAGCTGTCCCTGTCCTCTCAGCCCTGTGTCTCTATCTACAGGTTGTATTCATGCGTGTATGGGTGACGCTTCAGCCCTCATGCTCAGGTGTCCTTTTGATATGTGGTGTCAGCAGTCTTTTTTTTTGGTTTGTTTGTTTGGAGATTATTTAAAAGTAGAGACTCAGACAAGAGAAAACAACACTGTTGATTCTGCTGTGGCTTTGTGCTGTCATTTCTTTTGAGAGCTTCATGAGCTGTATTGTACTGGAGTCTTTGAATAAAACCACAGAGCAGACTCCCTGGGTCTAAGTTTTTTTTAATGAATGTTGCCTCCACACACAGATTCGCCTGTTAGTGGCAGCTGAAAGACCTTAGAAACGTCAACATTTGTTTCAAATATGAAAAATGTCTACAAAAGCCTCGATGATAAAAGATTCTATTCTTCAGCGTGGGTCTGAAATTACCGTTTTTTTTTGTAATTGGTGATAACAGCATTTAAAAAAAAAAAAGGCCTTCAATTACTGTCTTAGAAAAACCTGTTCGGTGTCATGCCGAGGAACACATGCCTGCCAAGAATTGCATGAATCCTGCGGGAGAATGCAAAACATGGCAGACATAAATTGTACGCTATGGTATTTTGCATCCACCCTTTAAGTTCCTCCTCAGAGTCAAACACTGTTCACGGCTCATAATTACACAGGCTTATGCAAATGTGTCCTCTACTGAGGCTAGCTATAGAACAATAAGGATGCTTAACGTTTATTAAGTATAAACTTAAGATCATTCTCATCACTAATCTGCCCCCAGATATAAAAGTTATATCCGTGCACTAATCATTATGCCACCAGTCCAGATGGATGACCTGGCAGTTACATACACTCACAGTTTCATTTAACTTCAAGATCAAAGTTTATCTTTAAGAATCTGTCTGCAATAGTTTGCATATAGCTTAGCTTTGGGCCCTTAAAAGTTTTGAAAAGATTTTTGGATCTAGCTTAAGTATCAAACCTGTGGTCCAGATTCCAGGTGCTAAAGATGATCCTGCTCTCCCGGCTCCCGTAAGGGTTGATCGAGTGGAGAGACGGGCACACGTCCTGGTCAAACGATCCCTGAGGAAGTAACAGAGGAGACAAGGATGACAACCATGTTTTCACCTGCTCGTTCAGCTGCTCTGGCAGATGTATCAACACCTTTGATACCTGGCAGGTGAACCATCCCTCCCGAGTGCAGAGGCGATGTGGCTCCTTTTCAGTCCTGTCAAAGTAGCAGCCGTTGTATTTTGCGGTCTTCAACATTTCCACCAGGCAGTTGGATGCTTTCTCAAACTCAGCTCTGACTTTTGCCTTCTGGATGGTTTTTGTGGCATCATCCACCTGAGGACAGAAATGACACGGTAAGTATATCAGATACATAAACAGTAAATAATGACTGAGGCTGAATTCATAGACTAAGGAGTTTTACTTCTTTCAAGTAGCCTCGTATTCTGCTTTCACAGTTGAACTTCATGTAGGCAGACTTGGTCTTGAATCTGGAATCAACACCTGAAATCAAAACCTAGTTAACCTCAAAAGCAGATGAATTTGGAGTCACATTAAGTGTTTAATGTAAGACATATTACAATTGCAAACAAAATATATCATATCAAGGTTACAAATAAGATAAAGAGGTTGTGACCCCAATGGGAATGATTTTGTGTCAACTTCATATTTCCAGTTACCTAAACCCAGACGTCCCCAAATGTGGGCAAGTCAGGTTTTGGTACATTTCATGAAATATAACAAAGAGGCAAAAGTCTTTCAATTCATCAGTCTCAGCTTTCAAAACCAATCATGTCAAGTCAATGGACTGCTTGGAAATGGTCTTTGGGAATCCAATAGTCACTAGTGTTTGTCTGTTGTCTTAGATGTAATAATTAGTGTAGTTCATATAGCAATTAAACTATTTTTATCATCAATTTATGTGGAGTTTAATGGCCAATTTAGACACACTTTTGATGTTTTTCAATTCTATAATAATAATGTGACTTAAAGTCCCTGATCCCTCAGAGGAGGAATTTACACGTTCTTAAACCTCTACCTCTCGAACTATTAGATAAAATGAGCCTCACAGTGGTTGGCTATCCCTCTCAGTGTGGGGATCTCAACAATGCCGAAATGGTGGACGAAGCAACAGAGTCCAAGGCTATGCTTATCAATGCTACGTGTAGTTTAACATATTCATCTTATCAATGAGAGAGTGGAGAAGAACATACTGGTGAGCAGATAACATGAAAAAGCATTTTCAATACGTGCACAGAGATTATACAGTTGGCATGCCAATCGCTGGATATAATCCTCATCACATCCTCCCACTCCATTGCAGTGAATTTTCATGCATATTTCCTGCTGGCTTTTCACATCAGCTCACCCTGACGCTTTCTGGTTCAAGAAAAACTCAGGGTTAAGTTGGAGTGGTAATTCTGCTGTTTGCATTCACACATGAATCTCAGTACAGAAATATCAGGACGTTTTCAGGAGTTTTGTTCATGTGTGAAACTAGGATCTGTTAAATTGACTTGAGAATGTTCTGCCGTTGTTTAACCTGAACAATTTTACATGTTGTATTTAAAACAAAAAAATCTGGAAATAAGCTATACTGTATGTTTGTCATTGTTGCCGATCCATAAACCAAGCATCCCAAGTCAAAAAGCCAAAGTCTCCATTTGACTTTGTACCTTTGAACCAGTCTTCATCTTCCTCCCTGCCCTCCAGCTCAGATCTGTCCTCAAGGTTCTGCAGCAGGTCAGTCAGGATTTTGCGCCTTTTTGGAGACTCCTCATCAGACAGGAGTCCTTTCGCAGCTTCAATGAGGCCGTCAGCATGCCGGTCTGTGTTGAGTAACTGACCAATGTCACACACAACTGAAAGAAATAAGCAAAGCAGTTATACGAGTGAGAAAGAAAACACAAGAATGCTTTTTAAATATTGTCTGGGGTTGTCTCACCAACCTCCACTCCATGTCTGATCTTCAGAGAGAAGAACAAGTTCAATGTTGTCTGGAAGAGTCCAGAAGAAGTCCTCTGTCACTTTTGTCCCATCAACATACAAGCAAACATGTGCACCGGAAAGTGACACCTGCAAATGAAAATGCCATACAGTTACACAATAACAACAAACTAATACATGAGGTGGAAGTTCAATTGAATGCCCAAATCTCCTTATCTTACAGTGTGGTAATATTTTTATTTTAAATATATTCATAAAGTTTTATATAATTTACTATAAAGGTCTATGAAAAAAAGTCAGTGTCATACAAGCCTTTTACACAGCCTGCCTTATCTTATGTACCATTTGTTTAGGTACAGCTTTATTTTACAGAAGATGAATTGTTCGTCTTCTATCTCTGACACTTAAACATGCACTGGTATATCACACGACATAGATTTACAGCTTTTATCCATTTATTGTTGTTGAATTTCCTATCTCTATTTATCTGTTACTCATTTTAAAGATACACTTGTCTTGTGAGTTTGCTGCTGTAAGGCTATCTTCCTCTTGGTATGATTTCTTTATTATATCTTGTTTTTTGTTTTGCTGAAGATGATCCTGTATCGGACAAAACCCGCCCCTGTTTCGAAGAACATTTGATCAAAAAGCTCAGGTTGTTATGGAAGAGGGAATATGTTCAGAACAGTCACTTACGCTTCTTCAAATCTAGAAGATAACAACTGTATCTTTATTTTGTTTAAGAGGAGTTATGAACTGTTTTGATAGCATCTGTTCCCTAAAGAAAAAGCGGAAGGGTCGGTATGAAACACTAAACATGTTCAACCACACAAAATATGGGCTCACCTGTAATAACTTGCAGCCTTTTTTAAGCAACTCTCTCAAGCTTTGTGCTGCGACACCGTATTTTCTGTTATCATCGCAACTTCTTATTTTCACGGCTTTATTTTTCCCGAAGAGTCGAAACATTGCACTGTTTGTATCTACCGCTTCCGTCTTCTTCTTCCTCGTCAGGCTGAGAACACGCAGCAGTACAGTCTATGGTTGTGATGCTGCCCTCTAGTGTTTGTTCTCTGCTGTCAGCATTTCTTGAACAAAAGGAATACACTGAAGGGGGAGGCTATCTTTTTGTGAACACATCAGAATACATATTAAGAAATATCGGAAACAGATTGTCAATGATCATCTTTTGAAGATAAATATTCTTCAGAGGTGTTATCTCTAGCTGTAGGCCGACTGATATTGCTGGCGGCTCTGACAGTAACACAAATCAAATAAAGTAATGGACTTGGAGGAAGATTATATTTTTCCAAGTGTAGGCCCACGATAAAGTTCAGTAAAATTCAGTGAGGAACTATTACAAGTGAAAAAATGGCCTATGTTTGACACATTTTCTTCTTTACCCCTTGAAGCCAAATATTTAGTTCCACAACATAAGTGGCTATCTGGAATAGTATTTGATATCTATTTTAAGCAGGTTTAAAATCAATTACATTTAAGCACTACCCTCATGTGTCACTTTTGGAAAAGTGTCAGATGCACCCAGGCCAGCAGTTTCAAAAAGCAATCTACTGCATTTATCTTGTCACACTGTCTAATAAAAGTTACAATCATATTAAATGGGACCAACACAATTTGCTGTAAAACTAAAATTTGAAAGCTGTCACAATCAAATGCCTCAAACTCTTATATATTAAAGGGCCACAAACCTATTTTTAATGCAGGCTACTGAGTCAAGTCTAATTGTTTAGCCTTGATTTAGTAGGTTAGAGGTTTTTGTCATCACACATAGCCTACTACTGCTCAGAATAATGCTATATATTGTATACTTTAAATAATACATTGCAAATAATTATATAGTTTGATATTTGTTTATTATATTTGACAATAATGAAACAATTGTGTTCTGCAATAACTGTTTGGTACAACATGCCCTCATAGATTGTTTCTTTGTTGAAACATTTGGCCGACTGTACGGTAGCCCTGCATAGCAACGCCACAATTACCATAGTAACTGATGCAAGGCGATGGGAAATACCAAATGCAGGTAAATTGTTTTATGACGACCACTGTGAATATTTGTTTAAATGCGTTGATGCGGTTTAAAATGACTTGCTCTATAAGTGCACTCCTCGTAAGTATAATTCCGTCGTAAAATCGTTGTATTTATCAGTGAGTACACAAAATGATAATATCATATTACTTTGCTCACCCCTTTGCGTTAAGTAGGAGAGTCCGATTTCAATATGGCGGCCGCGTGTTCGAAAATCTAAACTGGGACTTAGGAAAAATAGTTTTCTCAGTAACAGTTCTGTTGTCAGCTATATTTCAGACATTTTGCGATGGCATGCTCATTTCTCCAGTAACATACGAAAATGGTCAAAACGGAAGACATGTCGACCACGGCGGACAGCTGGAGAGAAGTGTTTGAAAGAAGCCGGTTGGTACCCCCGCCCCGCCAGGCAGTCCGCCTTGCCGTGGACAGCCACTTCACCCAGTCCCACGGCTTCCAGCTCTGCCTCAGCCGACTCACTGTAGCTCAACCCCCGCAGGTGACTTCACAGAGCTAACGCTGCATGCTTGCTAGAGATATAGGAACTTGTGTGCACAAGGGTTGCTTACAAAACCTAAAGAGACGAGTCTACTCACTGACTCTGGGCTCACAGATATTGAGATCGATAAATATGATTAAGACCCCATGGCATCACCTACTGCACCTAATTTATGATGCGTCACTATTCGTAGAGAGAACTCGTTAAAAACGTCACAGGAAAAGTTGAATTTACTTAAAAGCCAGTAGCCCAGAGTAAACCCACTTCAGTAAACCCACTTCAGTAAACCCACTTCAGTAAACCCACTTAAGTTTACGTTAACCCTCACACTAGCCTCTGGTTCAGTGGAAACCTTTAAGATAATATAAATCTTCTACAAGGATATATTGTTTGAGTGTTAACTAATAAATTGGTGATGGTCAAATGAGAAAAGCTAATGCCTTAAATATCGAATACATCAAAACCTTTCAGGGTTAGGTTAATGAATGTTTTTTCTACATTTACTCCCAGGAGATTTCAGAGGGGGGGCAAGATTTGACCTACCAGCTCCGAGTGACCCTGTTTGATAAAAGTCACCAGCACTTCTTTGGGAAAACATGGAAGAGCCAACCACAGAGGATGAAAAACAACAAGATCTTCTTCGATCAGGTAGTTCCATTATAACAGGCATTTAACTGAAATAAGGCCTGAAGATGACATGAAGTTATGATTGACTTTGTGTTAGGTTTCAGTCTACTTTCAATGTCTTCTCATGTTTTAGTGTTAATTGATGATTATATAGTAAAGTCAATGTATATTCAGGCGTCAATTACATAGATTTAGCTCAGGCTTAATAAATTTAATCAGCTCAAAAGCTCCACCACTCAAGACATTAAATTAGCAATGATGAATGGACTGTGTTCTGCACAGCTCTCAGGAATATTGCCAGCTTAAACAAAGTAAGTACAAACTTCCATGATTGCCGATAAATCTTCACGCAACAAGCTGCATGCTACAAGTGATTCAATATCTGACATTAGAAGTTAATAAGGAACACATGTTATTTTAATTATTATTAGAGAGGGCAAAGTGTGTAGTAGATCCATTTGTAGAGGCAGATGTGTATATGAATAATATTTTCTTTTTTTTCCGCAGCGTTGGATTGTATGAGAAACTTGTGAATATCCAGTTCATACCTTACATTAAAATGGGTTTATGCAGTTTAGGATCTGTAGCTGCTTGGCTCACACAGTGCTGTGCAAGCTCAGACTGAAATCTTTAATCTTCAGTTTGTTTGTGGGATTGATTATTAACATCATAAAGGTATCCTTGTATATCTACAGCTGATGGCAATTCATTGTTGATGTAATTACCACTCATTTTTATTTTATTTATGTCCCTTCCATGCAGTGAACACTGCAGCTTATCTGTGGCATACAGTACTGACATGCAAAGGAATAAGTATTACTGCTTAGAAAATGGATCACTAAAATGAAGAATTATGTGAAGGTAAAGCAGTAAAAATATTCTAAATAAAACCTACACATTAAACTGATTCAGAAGGCTATAGTATATAATTTGCCAAAGTAGTGCTTCATTGCATTGTCTTAATTCAAATTAGGAGAGAGTAAACCAAAAACAATATCACAATGCAAATCAAGTAAAAGACAGATTAAATAACTAAATAACATACAGTAGGCTACATAAATGAAAGACAGAAATATATAGAATATAAAGTAAAATAAACCAATAAAGATGCATTTAAATAGTGTAAATCATTATTTAAATAGGGGGGAAAGGTTTTATAATAATGTATACATTTGTTATATTTTCTGTTGTTAATTAAAAGTAGCGATTTCAGTCGGGACTTCAACTCTAAATGTATTCTATCAATTCATGCTCGGTTGTTTTGATTTGCAGGCGCTCGTGAAGTGACGTTTTATGTTTAACTTCGCACAGCATTGTGGGTGGTAAAATAGTAATACAATTCATTTCCTGAAAGGATGCATCCGATCCATACTGATTGGATGCACCTGTGGAGGAAACCACATGTAGAGAAACTCAACATGCATGTCTCACTATGTACATAGATTGAAATGTCTGCACAAATCATTTTTGCCGACTTTGACTCAAAAAGATTAGTCTTCATGTAGTGTTTGATAAACGTTTCTCCATTTTCTCCTCCGCTTAAACTGTGAAGCCTGTTTAAAGTCCTCGTCACTACTCCAACAGTTTTACACCTTAGGAGATCTCTTAAGGGCTAAGACACTTTATGAATAACTGTCATCTTTACAAGGATCTAGTCCATAACTTTAAGGGGAAATTCTTAGAAAATGTCTTGATTCTACGAATTTTCTTAGAATTGTGATAGTAGGAGCAACTCTTAGTACTTACTGGACTTTGTGAAGAATCATCTCTTCGGTCTTAAATGGATGTCTAGGTGCTTGAGCTGGAGTGCTTGGTGTTGGATATTTGTAGTTTTTGCAAAGAACCGCTAAATCAATGAAGGTATCTTGTTAATGCTGGATGTTTCACGTTGTCGAGGGGCTTTTGTATGTTGTCGAGGGGCTTTTGTATGTTGTCGAGGGGCTTTTGTATGTTTTGCCACTTAACCTTTGTGGGTTTCACAGCCCTACTGAACAGACGATGAATGGTTTCCATGACAGTATTTCTGCCTTCTTTAATGTGTTCAGTTATAATAAATTAGCACTCTGCTTTGCTCATCCTCACAAGTGAACAACAAGCAACATTTCTTTCTGCCTTGCTGTCACATTGAAGGAGCTCAGTGGAGCTGCTGAATCCACTGCCACTTTGTTAGCAGCCAACACAACCTACACAATAACAACACAATACACCCAGAAAGCCCAGAATGTATATGGTAGTAACTTGTTTGTTGCAGCTTTAAAATATGTTTTTGTTGCTACTTGTTGCTTTTCTCCACAGATACAAATATGAACTTAAGTCAACTGCTTGTTGTTGGTCTAAAGTGCATCTCCTTCTGCGATGTGATAGCTTTAGATCTGTTTCCTCACGTCATCCCTTTAAGCTCCATGTTCATGTTTGTATGTGGATTGTGTAGCTCAGGGCTGTGTTTGCTTGCTACATTATGATGACAAACAGGCAACTCCAGACATTAAGGCTTAAACACTTTGTGTTTTGGAACTACATTTGGTGCAATAACATAAACACTCTGAAGTATGTACTTCTTGTAGACCTGGGCCCGTATTCACAAACGTTCTGAGAATCCTCTCAGAGAGCTCCTAACTTTGCTTAAAAAAATCCTAGCAAGGATTTTTAGGCCATAGAAGTGATTTAGGAACAATCCCAGGGCAACTCTGAGCAAAGAAGAGTAAGAAACCTCTATCTTGGTGAGGTGTGTGGTGGACCCTGTTACTAGGTATGACACATTTTTTCAGAAGCTGTGATTGGTTAATCCAAAAAAAATTGAGAAAAAAGTCACACATTGTGAAATTATGAACACTGAAATAAGCATCTGTGTTATAAGACATACTTTAAAAGTGTTTAGCATACAAGATGTTTAAAATCACATGTGCACTTGTGCAGCAGCTTCTTCACATGCTGATCGTTGTTTCAGCAGGTGAAGAGGTTTTAATAGTGATTGGATTCACCCGTGGAGGAAACCACATGTGGAGGAACATGCATGTTTCACTATGTACTGAAAAAAGTCATAGATGGTTTCAAATGAAAAATATTTGTTTTCTGTTCTGCACATCTATGAGTCAAAAATATTCTTCTTTTGGAGAACATTTCTCCAGTTTTACAATTTAGGAGCTCTCTTAAGGGCTAAGCTGCTTTGTGAATAACTTTCATCTGTACAAGGATCTAGTCCATAACTTTAAGGGAAATTCTTAGAAAATGTCATGATTCTTAGAGTTTTTTTTAGAATTTTGTTAGTATCTCTTAGTACTTAAGAGACTTTGTGAATACAGCCCCTGGTGTATCCATTTGAGATTGCTGTTTTTATGCACTGATCTGAGTGAGTCCATGAACTATGTTGGTCTGCAGTTTCTCTCAAATGTGCAATGACAGTTGCAAACAAGGGTACCGTCTCACTTTGATACACTTTTTTTTATCTTCTTTACTTTTTTCAACCATTGTACCCTACGCCTTTTCTCCTCTGTAATCATTATTAGATAAAAGGAACATGCAGAATGTTTGATGTCAAAATGTGCAATGTATTCTTTAAAGCTTTGATGATGAAATTTCCAATTACTACTTGAAAATGCTGAAGATAATGTGATAGCTAAAGAGGACCTTAGATACAAAAGACTAAGTATACAAAGTGCGGTATTGGAATATTCCACAGATCAGATCATGTTTAGTTTTCATTCAACTTGAAAGGATTTCTTTTGAATATCCAGTCGCCCTCAGGTCTGTGTCCTCCATTTTTTTTAACGGCTTGTTTCCTGTTCTCTAGGTTAAAGGTGATGGAGTCAAATTCCTAATTGAATCTACATGTTATTGATTTCTTTTATATGTTTTACTGTATCATAGTCTAGGACTGATGTTACCTAACATTTAAGAAATGAATAACACCAAATCTTTTTCAAACCAGATTGTCCAAATACAACTTTCTGCTGTGGATGGCGATAATAACATCATACACACATAAATAGTTATAAAAGAAATATAAAAAATGGTTAAAAGAATTGACAAACTACAACAAAAAACTGTTCATCCTCAGTGAGAGTGCTGGGTAATCAACTCTGTATTGTATCTACTACGAGTACAGAAATTGTGATTTTTCAGCTTCAAACTGGAGTGCTGTCCCTTGATTATTCAAGCAGCTTCTTCTATTCTGCACTTGTCAGGTCATCAGGCATTTCTGTCACATCAACAGAAAAGGGGTCTCTGATCCGCTCAGGCCTGGCCATGACTGGGAAGCACCCTGTGAACTGGTCTGCCATGGATAAGAGGTGCTGAGCTATTGCATCTGGGAGTGATGTGTCAGATGAAGCACGTTTCACACAGGACAAAGGAAAGTGGACACATCCCCAGCCTTGACCTTGCTTTCCAGCAGGTTCAGCTTTTTTCTTCATTGCTGGCACTTAAAGACATTTTCACACTGACTCTCTGTTTACCTATGTTGAGCTTATTCAGACATGAAACATGTCTACTGGAAAAGATAATTTCTCAAGACACTGTGGGTCACTGAAAAGCTTATAAGACTGTCAGTCCTCACCTCTGAGTTTGCCATAATGGTGGCTTGAACTCTGGCCAGACTTCTACTTCCACAAAACTATAGGTGCAGATATCCAGTCACCACCAAAACTAGTATTTCTTTGACTTGCAAGGTTGATACCAAATATCTTGCACTGAACATTATTGTCGTCTTTTTTGTCAGTGTACTTCCAGATATCCTTTTTTCTGGTTCAAGGCTGACATTGCATGAAACACTTACTGAGTTTAACAATGCTGTGGAGGTGCACAAGTAGTGAAATGCTACTTGAATAATGATGTCAACAAAGTACTCGAGTTACTGCTAACCAATCCCTACCAGAGACCTTGGCATTGTAATTTTTAATAGGTCTTTGAAAAGGGGAGTTCATTGCTTTGGATGGTCGGCTTTCCTCCTTGTAATCTGTTGTTATTATCTCCAAAGAAACACGATGGTTCAAGTAAACTTGTTATTTTTGCAAATGGAGATG